TACCATGGTGTTTTGATTACTGTAGCCTTGTAGTATAGTTTGAAGTCCAGTAGTGTGATGCCTCCTGCTTTGTTCTTTTTGCTTAGAATTGACTTGGCTATGTGGGCTCTCCTTTGGTTCCATATGAATTTTAAGGTGTTTTTTTCCAGTTCTGTGAAGAAGGTCATTGGTAGCTTGATGGGGATAGCGTTGAATCTGTAAATTACTTTGGACAGTATGGCCATTTTCACGATATTGATTCTTCCTAACCATGAACATGGAATGTTTCTCCATCTGTTTGTGTCCTCTCTTATTTTGTTGAGCAGCGGCTTGTAGTTCTCCTTGAAGAGGTCCTTTACGTTCCTTGTTAGTTGTATTCCTAGCTATTTTATTCTCTTTGTGGCAACTGTGAATGGCAGTTCATTCTTGATTTGGCTCTCTTTAAGTCTGTTATTGGTGTATAGGAATGCTTGTGATTTTTGCACATTGATTTTGTATCCTGAGACTTTGCTGAAGTTGTTTATCAGTTTCAGGAGATTTTGGGCTGAGACGATGACGTCTTCTAGATATACAATCATGTCGTCTGCAAATAGAGACAATTTGACTTCCTCCTTTCCTATTTGAATACCCTTTATTTCTTTTTCTTGCTTGACTGCTCTGGCTAGAACTTCCAGTACTAGATTGAATAGGAGTGGTGAGAGAGGGCATCCTTGTCTAGTGCCAGATTTCAAAGGGAATGCTTCCAGTTTTTGCCCATTCAGTATGATATTGGCTGTTGGTTTGTCGTAAATAGCTTTTATTATTTTGAGATACGTAACATCAATACCTAGTTTATTGAGGGTTTTTAGCATAAAGGGCTGTTGAATTTTGTGAAAGGCCTTCTCTGCATCTATTGAGATGATCATGTGGTTTTTGTCTTTGGTTCTGTTTATGTGGTGAATTACATAAAAGAAAACAGAGAATAACCAAATTGGTGCAATAAAAAATGATAAAGGGGATATCACCACAGATTCCACAGAAATTCAAACCATCATCAGAGATTATTACAAACAACTCTATGCACATAAACTAGTAAACATATGTGGAACCAGCCTTGCATCCCCAGGATAAAGCCTACTTTATCATGGTGGATAAGCTTTTTGATGTGCTGTTGCAATCGGATTGCCAGTATTTTATTCAGATTTTTGCATCTATATTCATCATGATATTGGCCTGAAGTTTTCTTTTCTTGTTGAGTCTCTGCCAGGTTTTCGTATCAGGATGATGTTGGTCTCATAAAATGATTTGGGAAGGATTTCCTCTTTTTGGATAATTTGGAATAGTTTCAGAAGGAATGGTACCAGCTCCTCTTTGTGTGTCTGGTAGAATTTGGCTGTGAACCCATCTGGACCTGGGCTTTTTTTTGGGTGGTTGGCTCTTAATTGCTGCCTCAACTTCAGACCTTGTTATGGGTCTGTTCAGGGTTTTCGCTTCTTCCTGTTTTAGGCTTGGGAGGAGGTAAGTGTCCAGGAATTTATCCATTTCTTCCAGGTTTACTAGTTTATGTGCACAGAGTTGTTTGTAATAATCTCTGATGATGGTTTGAATTTCTGTGGAATCTGTGGTGATATCCCCTTTATCATTTTTTATTGCACCAATTTGGTTATTCTCTGTTTTTTATTAATCTAGCTAGTGGTGTGTCTATTTTGTTGATCTTTTCAAAAAACCAGCTCCTGGATTTATTGATTTTTTGAAGGGTTTTTTGTGTCTCTATCTCCTTCAGTTCTGCTCTGATCTTAGCTATTTCTTGTCTTCTGCTAGGTTTTGAGTTTTTTTGATCTTGCTTCTCTAGCTCTTTCAATTTTTATGATAGGGTGTCAATTTTAGATCTCTCCTTGCTTCTCATTTGGGCACTTATTGCTATATATTTTCCTCTAGAGACTGCATTAAATTCTTCTATGTATTTCTTAGAAAAATATACAAACATGTGCAGATAACTTTTCCCTACAAAGGATCATGCCATGCACATTACTGTGCATCCTGCTCAAGTGTACAGAGGTTTCCACAGGTTATACAGGGCATTAGCTGCCTGCCTGCCTCCCACCCTTCCTGCCTCCCTCCCTCTGTTCTACCCTCTAGTGTCACATCTCAAATCATCCTGTTCAAATAAGAACCTCCCCTCCCACCTCCACCCTCCCTGGTCACATTCTATTCTCTCACCTCAATTTATTTTTTCTTCCTATTTGTTTAGTGATGTAGCTGCCCCTCTCTAACACTTATCAGAATAAAATCTCCATATGAGAGTGACTTTGATTTCCTCTCTACTCTATTCTCAGTGACTAGATCAGTGCTCTACGTGGTCCCTCAGTAAAAACTTGGTAAATGAATGAATTGGAGTCATTCTGTTTACTAGCTGCAGGAATGTCTAGAATACGGGGAAACTGTTATTTATGTAACCATTCCCTTATTGATAGAGATGAAAGGTCTTTCAAGCTTTAGTCTTTACAAGCAATGCTGCCGGGCACTGTGGCTCACGTCTGTAATCCCAACACTTTGGAAGGCCGAGGCAGGGGGATCACCTGAGGTAAGGAGATCAAGACCATCCAGGCCAACATGATGAAACTCTGTCTCTACTGAAAATACAAAAATTAGGCAGGCATGGTGCCATGTGCCTGTAATCCCAGCTACTCAGGAGGACAAGGCAGGAGAATCAGTAGAACCTGAGAGGCAGAGGTTGCAATGAGCCAAGATCCTGCCGTTACACTCCGCCTGCAAGACAGAGCAAGATCTGTCTCAAAAAAAAAAAAAAAAAAAAAAAAAAAAGATGTTAGTAAATGGGATTGCTGGGTCCAGGGTAGTTGCATTTTCAATTGGAATAGATGATGCCCAGTTACACTGTTAAAAGATTATTGCCATTTATACCCACCTGCAATGATGAAGGCACCTGTTTCCCCTAATTTTTCTCTGATAACAAGGTATTATTCGTGGTTTTTTTTTTTTTTTTTTTTTGAGACGGAGTTTCGCTCTTGTTACCCAGGCTGGAGTGCAATGGCGCGATCTCGGCTCACCGCAACCTCCGCCTCCTGGGTTCAGGCAATTCTCCTGCCTCAGCCTCCTTGAGTAGCTGGGATTACAGGCACGCACTACCATGCCCAGCTAATTTTTTGTATTTTTAGTAGAGACGGGGTTTCACCATGTTGACCAGGATGGTCTCGATCTCTTGATCTTGTGATCCACCCGCCTCGGCCTCCCAAAGTGCTGGGATTACAGGCTTGAGCCACCGCGCCCGGCTATTCGTGTTTTATTTTAGCTAATCCAAGAACTGGGTGTGGAGGGAGATAGTATCTCATTCTAATTGGCATTTCTGTGTAAATTATCCAGTTTGAACATTTTAATATGTTTTATTGACCATTTTTCAGCTTCTATGAATGGCCCGTTTATAACATTTTGCTATTGTCTATTGTCTGTCATTCTCTTAATACGTTTGGTATTGAGCATATTAATCTTTTGTCAGGTGTGGCTATTTTTCCAGTCTACTTTTTGTTTTTCACGTTTACTGTTTTCGTTATGGAAATCTTTACATTTTTATGTAGTCAAATATATTACCTTTCATATTAGGCTTTTAGGCTTCTGGGTTTCCAGTTTTGTATAGGAAAGTTTCTCTTAAGGCTAAACCATATTTTCCTGAATTTTCTGGTAAGATTTCAATTTTTAAAAATAGTTGTCTCCTAAGCAAATTGAATTTTTTATTTATATACAATTTAGCTTTGTTTTTCCGAATAGATTTTCTATTATGTAAATACCATCTTTTAAATAAATCATCTTTCTCTCACTTACTTGAAATTTAAATATATGACCTTGATTTAAATGTAACTTAAATACATAATACATATACAAAAGTAAATATACATGGATTTATATATATATATATATATATATATTACACATATTTAAACTTGAATCTCTTTCTTGATTCTCTATTATTGTCCTGACCTATTTGTCTATTCCTATGTATAATTCTTATATTCCTGTGTGTGTTTAACTGTTTAATTATGTTACATCTGAGTAAAGTTTAATATCATATAAGCTAATTCTCCTTCACAAACCTACTTTTTCAAAATAGTCTTGCTAATCTCAAACACTTATGCCATAAAAATTTTTATTTATTCCAATGGAGCCCACCAGAATTATGCATAAAATTTGGCTTAAAAAAAACATACAAACATCTGGATTCACTATGGGGACAGACTGGAGTGAGAAGTGAGTTGGTTGGGAGGTGGTCTTAGCAATTAGGCAAGCTAAAATAGGGCCTTAACACCCAGGTGACAGGAGGGTGAGCCACATCCAAAAGAGAATCAACTGGACTTGGACTTTGATGATTAGATGTAAAGTATGAAGGAAGTTGAGTGATAGCTATTAGAGTGAAGGAGTGAGGAAATTGTAAACCCTTTCCCAGAGTTAGGGCTATGGAGGAAAGCAGTTTTGGAGGTAGACAGGAGGGAAGATGATGTATCCATTTGTGGACAGGTTGAGTTTCACTCATGAGAGCCATTGATGGGCACAAAGGATTGATGATGATGATATTAAACATTTGGATAACTTTAACATATTTGAAAGAGATTTTTAAATGAAGTTCTGGAGCTTTCAGGCATATTTAAGTTCTTATTCACTTTCTCGTGAGGCCTCACTTTATTTTTCCTGACTCATTTCTACTTTTGGCAGCTTGAGGGTAAATTATTGTAAATTCCCACTTTCGTTCTCGAAAACTGGGAATTTATCCACAAAAGGTAACATGTCAGTTTTTGAAAATGTTTGTTCCTGATGTGTAAAAATAGTTTCTTCAAATATTTATATTAATAGTTTTATAATATTTTTGCAAAACCCAGTATTTTATGGTCACTACCATTTTCTCTTTATCGTAAAAACTGTATAGGCTACAGAGTACAAATGATTTTGACTATTAAAATGATATATCATTTTGACTTAAGGTACGTTGTAGATATGCTTATTTTCATGGCATTTTCTTTCATTTGTCTTTTCAGAACTTGATAGCCCAGAAGAGTTAGGGAAAAAGCGTATCTGCAGGATTATCACGAAAGATTTCCCCCAGTATTTTGCTGTGGTTTCACGGATTAAACAGGAAAGCAACCAGATTGGTCCTGAAGGTGGAATTCTGAGCAGCACCACAGTGCCCCTTGTTCAAGCATCTTTCCCAGAGGGTGCCCTAACTAAAAGAATTCGAGTGGGCCTCCAGGTAATGGTCACAAAAAGTTCCTTTCTTCAGTATGTGCAGAGAGCATGCGAGTGCATATTTTGCTCTGGAAATAGTTATCCTAACTCATCCTTAATGATACTGCTCATTAGGCCATTTTGGGAATCATTTTCCTATGTCAAATAAAAGCTTCAAGTGTAAAGTTAGCTAGCTGGCTTGTTAAATAAGGGACATATTTTAAGGTTTTTCTGTTTAAAAGTCTCAGTTGGTTTTTGACGAAAAATAATTTTTTCAATCATAGGTTATTGGTCTCAGTATGTGGAACAGCATACCAAGCCATGGTTTATGATATACCACATCATAAAAATCAGTTATAGTGAAGCCTGAAAGCTGTAGTGTTTTGATTTGATGGAAGTAAATCATAAATACTGGGTTTTATCCAAACCAGTTGGAACTTGATTTGGTTTGGAAAGCTGACTGGAAATCTTGGAAAAAAGATTTTTCTTATATTTATTTCAGTTAGACTTTAGTTCTTTTTTCCCTTATTGAATAAGGAAAATGAACTAGAATAACTTAATTGGTGCTATTATTAATATTGTAAGTAATAGTTTAACTGAAGGTTCATGTTCTTCTTGTGAGGCTGGACTCTCCGGCCCAATGGAGTTACTGGGTTTTGTTTGTTTGTTTTGAGCCAAGCACTCTTAAATCCTGAGATGACCTTTGATAAATACTCAGTGCTGAGACCACCTTACATTTCAGGGGTATGAAGCTCCCTTCATCTGTCTCCCATATCAAGTTATTTTACCAAAAAGAAAAGAAACCAAAGGGTTAAAGAGAGGCTTGGTAGACTAGAATTGAAATCTTTTGAAATTTTGAATACCTTTTCGTTATTAACTCTGAAAGCCTCAGTTTTTATGTGGGTATGAGTTGCCTTTATGAGGTTTTACTGAATGTCCTGCATAGGTTTAAAATATATTGAACCTCAGCATTTATTGTCCTTTAATTTGGACTAGACTAAGACACTTCTCTGCCATGAGACTGGATCCCTCTCTTTCATGCAAGCCAGTGCTATTTGTATTTTACTGAGGAAGTACTCAGACAGACCCATTCTTGCCATAGTGTTTGGTTTTGTTTATTCATGCTTTTCTAAAATAGTAAGAAATGATAAAAAAGAAAGACATGGGGGCGGTTTTCTGGTTGTCTGTTTTTTGTTGTTGTTTTTTCTTTTTTCTTCTCACTTAAAAAGTAAACTTCCTGATTGGGAAAAAAAAAAAAAAAAAGTTACTTTCATTTAAGGTCCTTTCTCTGTCTCTAGGCCCAGCCAGTTCCAGATGAAATTGTGAAAAAGATCCTTGGAAACAAAGCAACATTTAGCCCAATCGTCACTGTGGAACCAAGAAGAAGGAAATTCCATAAACCAATCACAATGACCATTCCGGTGCCCCCGCCCTCAGGAGAAGGTGTATCCAATGGATACAAAGGGGACACCACACCCAATCTTCGTCTTCTCTGTAGCATTACAGGTTTGGTTAAGTCACTGCTGTACTTCTGTTGATTCACAGAGATTCTGTACAAAGCCATAACACCTTTGAAATATCCATGCCAACATTGTAAGAGAAAATCAAAGAACAAAACATTTTACTTGTCCATAACCTCATCTCTAGTTTCCCCAGGTTAATTTCTTTCTTTCTTTCTTTCTTTTGAGACGAAGTTTCGCAGTTGTTACCCAGGCTGGAGTGCAATGGCGCGATCTCGGCTCACCGCAACCTCCGCCTCCTGGGTTCAGGCAATTCTCCTGCCTCAGCCTCCCGAGTAGCTGGGACTACAGGCGGGCGCCACCATGCTCAGCTAATTTTTGTATTTTTAGTAGAGACGGAGTTTCACCATGTTGACCAGGATGATCTCGATCTCTTGACCTTGTGATCCACCCATCTCAGCCTCCCAAAGTGCTGGGATTACAGACGTGAGCCACCGCCCCCAGCCGATAATTTCTTTAAGATCCTGGTCTCATGACTCATTTAAAATTTAGTGAGAGCATCTTTTCTGCGATTAAGGTTTGCAATAGTTAGAAGTATCACTGAATCTACTGGAGCATCTGGGTAATTTCTGATTCAATCTAGGTAATTTCTCGGTGACCTAGGTAGATGTAATTAACCTAGCAGCATACTTTAAACCTACAAGGAAATTGGGTAGACTTTGGGAGAAATACGTGTCCTGCAGAGCACTAGTAACAGGAAAATGTTGAGTATGTGGTTTTTCTCTCCTACTCTATTCACCAGTGTCATCCTAGAGTTTAAACATTCAGGGCTCAGAAGAACGCATTTTGTGATAAGCACCTGGAATCCAGAGCTCAATTCAATCTTTGATTATCCCAATCCAATCTTTAACTGCAAGCCCAAGATTATTAAAGATAGGTTTTGTTTTTGTTTTCTGAGGAGCAGTTTTAATGGCTGATGCCCCTTTTTACCCTAGGTAATTAATTGGTGCAGCCACGTACAGAGCGAGATGTTTCTTAACTTTAGTTCTTACCTTTTAAAAGAGAAAAAGGCAGGGCACAGTGGCTTAGGCCTGTAATCCTAGCACTTTGGGAGGCGGAGGCAGGCAGATCACGAGGTCAAGAGATTGAGACCATTCTGACCAACATGGTGAAACCCTGTCTCACTCAAAATACAAAAATTAGCTGGTTGTGGTGGTGCACACCTGTAGTCCCAGCTACTCAGGAGGGTAAGGCAGGAGAATCGCTTGAACCCGGGAGGCAGAGGTTGCAGTGAGCCAAGATCGCACCACTGCACTCCATCCTGGTGACAGAGCAAGACTCCATTTCAAAAAAAAAAAAAATTAAGAGATTTAATTTTCCATCTGAAACAACAAATCTTTGTACTTACAAATTGCATTTATAAAACACACTTATAAATTGCGGCTGCCCCAAGTTTAAGCCATTCATTAGTACCCAGACAAAAAATAGGGAATTTTTTTTAATAACATCATAAAAGGAAATCACAATAAGCCTGGTAAAAGTATAAAAGGAGAGTAGAGAGGAAAACTACCTCTAGTACACACTATTAAATTGAAAGTGTTGAAGTTTTGCCAGTTTATGGCTATGCAGAAAGAAGAAAATGATATGATTAAAATTTTACAAGGAACATCTCCCATGATAAAGTCAACATATCTGCTGTTGTTCTCTCAGGGGGCACTTCACCTGCTCAGTGGGAAGACATCACAGGAACAACTCCTTTGACGTTTATAAAAGATTGTGTGTCTTTTACAACCAATGTTTCAGCCAGGTATGGAAATAAAGGATTCCAAAAAGCAGTAAGGAATTAGTTGTTATTACCTTTTGGAAAGTAAAAATTGTTGTGTTCAATACTCAAAAAATTGTTGTGAGAAAAAAAAACCCTTAGTACTTGCTTATCAAAATTATCCTCAAATAACAAACACAGGGTTTCTGTGTTTGATAAATGGGAAAAAAATCTTTGCTATTTAAATGAACAAGTTAATAACCTTTTGGGTTAGTTCCTTTATATATTCTGAGTTTTTAAATTGTGAAATTTTTTACGATTTGGCTTTTAAATAGCCACATTTTCACACTTCTGTTTTTGTTTCGCTCAGATTTTGGCTTGCAGACTGCCATCAAGTTTTAGAAACTGTGGGGTTAGCCACGCAACTATACAGAGAATTGATATGTGTTCCATATATGGCCAAGTTTGTTGTTTTTGCCAAAATGAATGATCCTGTAGAATCTTCCTTGAGATGTTTCTGCATGACAGATGACAAAGTGGACAAAACTTTAGAGCAGCAAGAGAATTTTGAGGAAGTCGCAAGAAGCAAAGATATTGAGGTACCTTGTTCACAAAACAAGTTCATTACATACCCCAGATACGGAGTTTTATTTTGTGGCCATAATACCACTCACTGTATAATACCAAGTACATTATTGATTTTACTTTTACTTTAAAAAATTTGATATAGATGAATACTCAAATTATTATTATCATTTTTGAGATGGAGTCTCACTATGTTGCCCAGGCTGGAGTGCCATTGTGCAGTCTCTGCTCACTGCAACCTCTGCCTCTTGGGTTCAAGGGATTCTTCCACCTCACCCTCCCAAGTAGCTGGGATTACAGGTGCCTACCACCATGCCTGGCTAATTTTTTGTATTTTTAGTAGAGATGGGGTTTCACCATGTGTGCCAGGCTGATCTTGAACTCCTGACCTTGTGATCCAGCTGCCTTGGCCTCCCGAAGCCCTGGGATTACATGCATGAGCCACCACGCCTGGCCTATACTCAAATTATTTTAAGTGTTTTTGGGGTTGTCTTAGCTGGTTAAAATGTAGTACTAATAAATCTAAGTTAATGATCTCCATTTACTTGTGGCCACTTGAGTTACCTACTTTTCAGAATGACTGTTCATACACACTGATTTTTCTTTTTCAAACCCAGTGATCATGTAAGTATCTAAGAGTCCAAAAAAAAAAAAAAAAAAAAAAAAAAAAAAAAAACTTTCAAAATCTATATGAATAAGTGATTGATGTCAGGTACATTCTTAAATATTTTTAAAGTTGCCAGAATAAAAATAAGTATATAATTCTGTTCTGTATATGTCCATGATATGGATTCCAGTTACAACTGGTGAATTGTAAGCACACAGCATTATTTTTATTGAAAATAGCGCCACAGAAGTAACTGCCTACTAGACAAATGTGACATAGTAACATGTCAGTCTTTTAATGTTATATAAAATCTCAAAATATTTCAAACTCAGATTAACATGAAATTGTTTATTTCTTTTACTCTAAAAGGTTTTGGAAGGAAAACCTATTTATGTTGATTGTTACGGAAATTTGGCCCCACTTACCAAAGGAGGACAGCAACTCGTTTTTAACTTTTATGCTTTCAAAGAAAATAGACTGCCATTTTCCATCAAGGTAAATCATCTTCAACAGAGAATCTGTGATTATGGGGAAAAAAATACTCTTAGAAAATAAAAATAAAAGGTTTTAATGATTTATTTAGTTTGAAATATCCCATCAAATCTGAACTCCTAAGGTCAAATTTTGTTCTAGTTCTACCAGAGTACACTTTGAGCCACTAATGCTTTATAACTGGTAAAAAGGATCCTTATTTTTTAAAGAGTTTAATAACATTTCTGTTTATGCAAACATTTGTAAAACCAAATAATCTAATAAAATGTATCATTTCTGGTTAATGTTCAGTAATCAAATAATGGATGAAATTCAAATTCAGTATTCAAGTTTCATTTTAATTTCTGGTGGAGCCAAGGGACATTCTAGAGGGACCATCATCTTTCTCCAAGTACAGAAGAAGATAGGACAATTGTTTTATTGTTATTCTTTGCTGTTCCTGTTACAAAAGCTTAAGATTTCAGAAAAAAAAAAATAACAAAAAGCCTGTTAGACAGAAAGAAAATGCACATAACTCAGACTATACTATGAATTCTCAGGATTAGCTCATCAGACACAACAATCCTGCGGTTAGGAATTGGGCATCTAATTCTTGTTGAGTTCATGTTGACACATAATTCTTATCATCTTTTCCCTTTACCTTTCCTGCCTCTCACAGGGCTTGATAAAACAAACACGTTTAACTCCTATACAATTAAAAATCCTCAGTAGGTCTCATTCTATAACTATCAACTACCAAAACTTTTCTAGATTAGAGACACCAGCCAAGAGCCCTGTGGTCGTTTGTCCTTTCTGAAAGAACCAAAGACAACAAAAGGACTGCCTCAAACAGCTGTTTGCAACTTAAATATCACTCTGCCAGCACATAAAAAGGTATCTTTTAATACTGCTTTATTTTAACTGTGTCTCCCTGGGCTTGAAGAAGTGGGCCTTTGGTATGCAATTAAGGAATGCTTTGTAACATGGATAAAGTTCTTGAAACTGAAGTTTTGTTAGTCTCCTTGTGTAGATTGCATCAGTCTTGTTACTGTGGTGTCAAATTCTTAGAGTTTGTATGATGGAGTCCTCTGTTTACCGCTTTTGCTTCTGCTAATAGCGCACAGATTTTTATGCTTTCAAATGATGTCATATGTTAATTTGCCATGGATGTACGGTTCTTGATATTTTTTGTTGGCTTTTTTTTTTTTAATTTGCTTTGCTTTCTAAATCAGCTCGCATTTGTGCTCCCTACTCAGTCCTTTTCATATCCTGATATTCTTTTCCCTGCTGTCCATTATAATATTCCTTGTCTCTGCAATGCATCTTGGAACCAAAAGGAGACAGAGTCAGATCAAGATGATGAGGTAATATGAACACTTCTGCTTTTATTCTATCAGAAGTAGAATAGAAATTGAATCTGTATAACAGAAGTTGCAGAGGGCTGAAGTGTGGGAAACATAAATTATATTTGGGCAGATCTTAAGAGAAAAGGGTATATATATATATATATATATTTTTTTAAATGGTTGACTCTTCTTCCACACGCAATTAAGAGTAATTCATTATATTCAGCAAAATTATAATTCAGTTAATTTAAAAACTGAAGTTCTTTAAACATTTTAAAATGTGATAGACTGGCATGTATAAATAAACATTAAAAATTTTTTTAGACAAGTCAAATGCAATCGTGAGAAAGGGGGAAAGAGTAGGACCAGGAAGTTCTATCTATGACTGACTGTGAACAGTCAAGTGAGATAACTCACTACCTTCAGACCAGCCAAATAGACATTTTGTAAAAGTTTCAGATGGGCACGGTGTCTCACGCCTGTAATCCTAGCACTTTGGGAGGCTGAGGCAGGTGGATCACGAGGTCAGGAGTTCAAGATCAGCCTAACCAAGATGGTGAAACCCTGTCTCTATCAAAAATACAAAAGTTAGCCAGGCACAGTGGCAGGTGCCTGTAATCCCAGCTACTCAGAGGCTGAGGCAGCAGAATGGCCAGGCGGCAGGGTTTGCAGTGAGCCAAGATCGCACCACTGTACTCAAACCTGGGTGACAGAGTGAGACACTGTCTCCAAAAAAAAAAAAAAAAAGTTTCATGTGCCTATTTCACTATCGACTATATCCTACTCTCCAGCATGTTATAAATTTAAATCAGGATCACATTTAATATGTGAAATTTTATTGTACAACCTTAGTTGTATGTAATACAAAATATTTGCTCACTAGCTATTGATAAATCGTTGATATTCTCATTAATTTATCTTGACCGTTATTTTTTAAAGAATGTAGCTCAATTAAATTGTCTCCTAATGTTTCTCTAAGTTATATGATAATTAGAATTTTAAAACCCACACACCACTAGCAATAAATAGAATCAAGTAGCCTTAGGACTCAGTAATAATACCTCTGGCCAGGCATGGTGGTTCACCCCTGTAATCCTAGCACTTGGGGAGGCTGCGGTGGTGGAATCACCTGAGGTCAGGAGTTCAACACCAGCCTAGCCAACATAGCGAAACCCCATCTCTACTAAAAATTCAAAAATTAGCTGGGCATGGTGGTGCATGTCTGTAATCCCAGCTACTCAGGAGGCTGAGGGAGGAGAATGGCTTGAACCCAGGAGGTGGAGGTTGCAGTGAGCCAAGATCATGCCACTGCACTCCAGCCGAGGCGACAGGAGTGAGAGTCTGTCTAAAAAAAAAAAAAAAATCCGAAAAACTAAACAACAACAACAAAATAGTACTTCTAACAAAACCAGCCATTAATCTGTTTTCAATCTCCTTATCTACAATTTATGCCTCTTAACATACAGAAACCCCAGCAGTAATTGGAATAATAAACTTTGTGTGCCTTTCTCCCTTGAACGTACTCACATAGAGTGAGTGTACTTTGTGATATATGTGCTTTCAATATGAACAGATCCAGGAAAATTTACTGCTCAGCATCAGAAGTCTCTGTAATGCTTGTCTTTTACTTGTACTTCCCTGTAGTCTGCTGTGTTGGTGCTCTTAAATTTGCCAGATGATATTTTGGTTAAGACACGGGGGTGGGGTGGGGTTATAGAATCCCAGTAGGAAATTAACATTTCCTAAGAGGAAAAATAAACAAGTTATCAACATGCCATCTTACAAAATGTTTTAAAACTGTGAAGATGTCACAGGGAAGTTGGAAATAGGGTCACCTTTTTTTTTTTTCTTTTTCAGATTGAGAAAACAGATAGACGACAGAGCTTCGCGTCCTTAGCTTTACGTAAGCGCTACAGCTACTTGACTGAGCCTGGAATGAGTGAGTTTTCTAACACATTTATTAATCTATGTGGATTTTCATAAGAAGAGACATTTTTTCTATACAAACTAAATTTTATCATTTGGAAACTCAAAAGCAAAAAAAAAATTGTCTGCAGGAAAACTGTCATATAACTTAGGTAATATTTTTTTGTACACAGTTTATTAAAAACACCCCTAGCTCATACTTCAAATTAGTTTTTAAAGCCATTCGCTATTTTTAAATTAGAAACATCTATTACTTTTCCTTTAAAACCCTGATTTTTACTTTGCTAACTATGCTAGGAAATAAATATGAATGTTGCTTTAGATCTATGCTCAGATGAAAAAAACTTACTCACATATTTGGAATAGTAGAAAGAATGATAAAGTTACTTTGTCATCTCATTTTTCTCCATATAGATAGGTTGTCATATCCTAATCCCGATTCTTTTTCTTCCCACTTTGCAAGAATCACATTTCCTTACCTTCTTGAGGTAGCACTTGTTCACAGATTTCTTCTTTCCTCGCTCCCTCCCTCTCACTTCCTCTCTTCGTGGCCTTGATTAAAATATCAGTTCTAAGGCTGGGCTTCACTAGACTGGTTAGATAGACGTTTTTCTTTTCTCAGTGATTGTTTTGGTTCACTGTTAGCTGGTTAGCTGGCATGCATTTACCAAGATATAGATTCATTCAACCATATCCATTTATCTATTCTTTCTGTCTGCCTCCTCTTCCCTTCCTTCCCTCATCCTTAAAATCATCACCTCTGGTGATCTCTACAGCCCTCGGGATAACTCCCTCCACTAGCAGGAACTAGGAGTACTGAGCACAGCACTGTATTTGACTGACATATTGGTGCCACTTTATTCTCCTCATTCGAAGTGAGGGGAAATTATACAAAAATTATTTTTAAATTAGTGAATCATGCCTAGCTGTTTTGCATTGACACAGTTTCTTAAGTTCAAGGAGGTTTGGGAATTTGCTAGTAAGAGTCACAACTTTGGCTTTTCCCGCCTTTTCTGAAGTCTTGTTTCTGTGGGCCAACAACAGAGCACATAAGATCTGTGGCAGGACAGCACTGCACTACTCAGTTGAGATGGGCGTAGCATCATCTTCTGGAGCCTAGCTCCTTGACTATGAGGAAAGCTTTTATATTCAAATACAAAGTGGAGAATATAAGAGAAATGAAAGAAGGCTACCACATTCAAGAATGTTCCCTCAGATCTCAGTTCTCCTCTAGCAGAAATGTCTAAATCCTCCCAGAATCATAAGGGCTGACATTAACTCATATTATGCTGCAGAGCAGAAGAGGGGAGTGTGTGTGTGTGTGTGTGTGTGTGTGTGTGTGTGTGTGTGTGTGTAGCTAGATGTTTTCAAGTGGAGCTAAATACCTTGGGGAAGTTTTCTTTGGCATACTATTTTGCCCTAGAGATCCTCAGTGAGTAGTTGGTTGGGACCCTCCAAGCAACATCCTTAAGCTTTGGACAGGCTCAGTGGACCAGCTACTCTAGGTCGGAGGCCCCTTTAGGCAGGTGAGTTTCTGTCTGATTCTGGTCGCTAAGGCTAAGTCAATTGAATGCTTCCCACTTATGATAGTGTTACTGGTTAGATACAGCTAAGGTGTATGCAGATTGTGTTCCTGAACTTCTGGTAGAAGAGGAGGGAACTTTTATGAAAAGGCACATAAGGGTGGTAAACAGGGGAATTAATAGGAATAAGAAGTGACTAAAAGAAAACTAAGTCTCAAAACTGGTGTATTAGGAACTCCAAGTGAATGCCACTTTTCCCTCACCACACTGCCCCTTTTACAACCCCTTCCCCCCAGAAAAAAAGATTCTGGATTAGTTCAGTACCTGACATCCAGAAATTCCTTCTTACAAAGGGATAGCAAAATATATGTCATTAAAGCACAAAACATGTAACTGATTGATAGGTTGGTTGTTCCCTGCAAAGTATAAAACCGTAGACATGGTTCAAAAGACTTCTTTGCCTGATAGAACCACCCTTCAGTGGTAAAGGATAGATGCTTTGTCAGTTTCTGATAGTTACGAAAATAAATGCTCGTGAGACATAGATTAAGCTCAAATCGTTGAATTGGAGGGATCCGTGAACCTTCCATTTGCAGCCTGGCATTTTCAAGAGTTAAGCTCAATAATTAAGGCAGGGAGGGGTAATGAATAGGCAAGTTTTTCCTTGGTGCTTCCACTTTCTTTAGAGCAATATGTAAGCCTAGGAAAGGATATGTTCTGGATGTTTGAATTTAAATGTACACTAGGAATGAACATCTTTACCCTTGTGGGAGTAGCTGCTAATCCATGGACTGGATTGTAGCAATTGCACGGGCACAGCATGAGGAAGAACATAAAAACGGAAGCAGATTCTTCTTTTCTCTTTGACTATTCTGAACCAGGGCTTTCTTGGAGGAAAACTGTACTCGGTTTTGATGTCAAACATTAGCCCTTAGCAGGCCTTGCAAATTTTGTTTGAGTTGCAGAAGCAGAGAGGACTAAGTATGTGTTTTTGCTCCCCAGCAAGTGTGCTTGCTTCATTTGTGTGTTCTTGCTCCATTGCCAGAAGAAATGCTTGGTATTACTATATCCATTCTTCCTAGTGGTAGGTGTGCCTCATGACTGCTTCAGTGTTTGTGATATCCATGCGTCCCACGAATATTATGGGAAGGCACCAGAATTGGTACCTTTGAAATTGATAAGCATGTATACAAACACCCCCATATCCTGTAGGTACTTAAATATGGGGTGTTAAAAATATGAATGCACTTTTTAGATGTCCCCCATGATAGCTTTTGAGAATTAAATGTAGAGTAGGTTATGAAAAAATATCTTTGGTAAATATGCTTTTATCAAATATAATGAAGACAGTTACAGAGATGGAACTGTTCAGTTGCAGGTGATTTTATAATGTGCAGTAGAAAACATTTTCCTAAAATCTCAAAAGGTACCAAGACTTCATATCTCATGGAAAAAGTGTACTCTTCTTTCTAAATGCCCTTGTGAAAGTATCTTTAAAGTTTAAATATTGTGCATAATATGGCATACGAATTGTATTACTTCATCGGCTTGTTTGCCATGATACATCGTGCATGATAAAATGTTTTCAGTTGCTTTGCTTGCTTATGGTAACCATGAACCATATTTTCTGTTTTTTTTTCCTTTGTGTGTGTGTGTGTGTGTGTGTGTGTGTGTATATGTACACGTGCATTTTAAAGTCATTCCATATTACGTTTTCTTTCCCCTCATCAAAAGGAATATACTGCATGGAAAAGATAAATGCAAACATTCCTTTTCTTTGTTTTTTGTTTAAAATTCTGACTCAGAAAACTTCTTGCTCTTATTGGCTTTTTATGGGTGTAAAGCATAACCGAACTGTGCATGGGAGAGACAGATTTAAAATCCAGTGGCTTCACAGTTTGCACAGCAGTCGCCTGTCACTTAAAAGTTATTTTGGATCCTGCATGAAATAGGCTTGAGTGGTTTTTGAAAAAAAGTTTTAGATCTTTAATGTACAGCTACATATATTGAAATGGTTCTAAGTAGGTGCAATCTGTATTATGGAAAGGCTAAAGGAGAGAGAGGACATTAGAAATTACTAAAATGAAAGTTGTATGGTTGCACGAAACAAACATGTACCTATACAGGCAAAACAAAACGGCTACTGATATTTCAAAACCAACACATAAGAAAGTCAATAGGAAGTAGGCAACAGTTTTCCATTGTGGTTATTTTTCTCATCATTAATTCTTTCCTTATGTTTTCTGTTTTTCATTGTTTGCCTCTTCAGTTGCAATGTGCTTTTCATTTCACATTACTCTGTTTTTTTATTTATTTAGTTGTTTTTTTCTTAACCGGATTAGTTATGTCTGTAGAAATTTATTTTTCCTCTTAATTGTTCCTTTTGCCTCTTCCATTCTAAATCATGCAAACAATTGTACTTGCTTTTGTAATATTTCAAAGTTTACTGACCAATTTTTTTCTCTGGTCTCTCTGTTTCTCAACCATTTTTGTTGATTTTTGTGTTTGATTTCATTTTAAAATTTAAGAAACAGTTGAACGGAGTACAGGAGCAACAAGATCCCTCCCCACCACTTACTCATACAAGCCATTCTTTTCTACAAGACCATACCAGTCCTGGACAACAGCTCCGATTACAGTGCCCGGGCCAGCCAAGTCAGGCTTCACTTCCTTATCAAGTTCTTCCTCTAATACGCCATCAGCTTCTCCGTTAAAATCAATATGGTCTGTTTCGACTCCTTCTCCAATCAAATCCACATTAGGCGCGTCAACTACATCTTCAGTTAAATCCATTAGTGACGTGGCATCTCCAATTAGATCCTTTCGGACAATTTCTTCGCCGATAAAAACTGTGGTGTCACAATCTCCATACAATATCCAAGTTTCCTCTGGTACCCTGGCTAGAGCTCCCGCAGTCACGGAAGCTACGCCCTTAAAAGGGCTGGCATCCAGTTCTACGTTTTCCTCTCGAACCTCTCCAGTGACTACAGCAGGGTCTCTTTTGGAGAGGTCATCAATTACTATGACACCCCCTGCCTCCCCCAAATCAAACATTAATATGTATTCCTCAAGTTTGCCATTTAAGTCAATTATTACATCAGCAGCACCGCTAATATCTTCACCTTTAAAGTCAGTGGTGTCTCCAGTTAAATCAGCAGTTGATGCCATTTCATCAGCCAAAGTTACAATGGCGTCTTCCCTCTCATCACCTGTGAAGCAGATGTCTGGACATGCAGAGGTAGCATTAGTCAATGGATCTATTTCCCCCCTAAAATATCCATCATCTTCAACTTTAATTAACGGATGCAAAGCCACTGCCACGTTACAGGAAAAAATTTCTACAGCTACAAACTCTGTGAGCTCTGTGGTCCATGCAGCCACTGACACAGTTGAGAAAGTGTTTTCTACCACGACTGCAATGCCATTTTCCCCACTCAGGTCTTACGTTTCTGCAGCACCATCAGCTTTTCAGTCTCTAAGAACTCCTCCTGCAGGTGCACTCTACACATCCCTTGGGTCGTCAATATCTGCAACTACCTCATCTGTAACTTCATCAGTTCTAACAGTGCCAGTATACTCTGTAGTCAATGTTTTGCCAGAACCAGCATTAAAGAAACTTCCAGACTCTAATTCATTTACAAAATCAGCAGCAGCCTTGCTGTCACCCATTAAAACATTGACTACGGAGACACGTCCTCAGCCTCATTTCAGTCGAACTTCATCTCCAGTTAAGTCATCTTTGTTCCTTGCACCCTCTGCCCTTAAGTTGTCTACACCATCTTCTTTATCTTCCAGTCAGGAGATACTAAAAGACGTGGCCGAAATGAAAGAGGACCTAATGCGGATGACCGCAATACTGCAGACAGATGTGCCTGAGGAGAAGCCATTCCAACCGGAACTCCCAAAAGAAGGGAGGATTGATGACGAAGAACCTTTCAAAATTGTTGAGAAAGTAAAGGAAGACTTAGTGAAAGTTAGTGAAATCCTTAAAAAGGACGTGTGTGTAGATAGTAAAGGATCACCCAAATCACCAAAGAGTGACAAAGGAAACTCTCCCGAAGATGACTGGACAGAATTTAGTTCTGAAGAAATCCGAGAAGCGAGACAGCAAGCTGCCGCCAGCCATTCTCCAACTCTGCCTGAGAGAGTGCAAGTAAAAGCAAAGGCCGCCTCCGAAAAGGATTATAACTTGACCAAAGTTATTGATTACCTAACAAATGATATTGGGAGTAGTTCACTGACAAACTTAAAATACAAGTTTGAGGATGCAAAGAAGGATGGTGAGGAGAGACAGAAAAGAGTCTTAAAACCAGCAATTGCTTTGCAGGAACACAAACTCAAAATGCCTCCAGCCTCCATGAGGCCTTCCACCTCTGAGAAAGAATTGTGTAAAATGGCTGATTCCTTTTTTGGAACAGATACTATTTTAGAGTCTCCCGATGACTTTTCTCAACATGACCAAGATAAAAGTCCCTTGTCTGACAGTGGCTTTGAAACAAGAAGTGAAAAGACACCCTCAGCCCCGCAAAGCGCTGAAAGCACGGGTCCTAAACCACTTTTTCACGAGGTTCCCATCCCTCCTGTCATTACGGAAACAAGAACTGAAGTGGTTCACGTCATCCGGAGCTATGAGCCCTCAGGTGGGGATGTTCCCCAGACCCAACCAGAGGAGCCTGTGTCACCTAAACCTTCACCTACATTTATGGAATTGGAACCAAAGCCCACCACCTCTAGCATTAAAGAAAAAGTTAAAGCATTTCAAATGAAAGCCAGTAGCGAAGACGATGACCACAATCGGGTTTTAAGCAAAGGCATGCGTGTTAAAGAAGAGACTCACATAACCACAACCACCAGAATGGTTTATCACTCTCCACCAGGCGGTGAAGGTACATCTGAAAGAATTGAAGAAACCATGTCAGTCCATGACATCATGAAGGCCTTTCAGTCCGGGCGGGATCCTTCCAAAGAGCTGGCAGGTCTGTTTGAACATAAGTCGGCAGTGTCTCCAGATGTTCACAAGTCTGCTGCTGAAACCTCAGCCCAGCATGCAGAGAAGGACAACCAAATGAAACCCAAACTGGAGCGTATAATAGAAGTCCACATCGAAAAAGGTAACCAAGCTGAGCCCACTGAAGTCATTATTAGAGAAACCAAAAAGCATCCAGAAAAAGAAATGTATGTATATCAGAAAGACTTATCCCGGGGAGATATTAACCTAAAAGATTTTCTGCCAGAAAAACACGATGCTTTTCCTTGTTCAGAGGAACAGGGTCAGCAAGAAGAAGAAGAACTTACTGCTGAAGAGTCATTGCCTTCTTATCTGGAGTCTTCCAGAGTAAACACTCCTGTGTCCCAAGAAGAAGATAGCCGCCCTAGTTCTGCTCAACTCATATCTGATGACTCTTATAAAACATTGAAGCTTTTGAGTCAACACTCCATAGAATACCATGACGATGAGTTGTCAGAACTAAGAGGGGAGTCTTACAGGTTTGCTGAGAAAATGCTTCTGTCAGAAAAGCTAGATGTGTCTCATTCTGATACTGAGGAGTCGGTTACAGACCATGCAGGACCCCCTAGCTCAGAGTTACAGGGGTCTGATAAGCGGTCCAGAGAAAAAGTAGCCACTGCCCCCAAAAAAGAAATTCTCTCCAAAATCTATAAAGATGTTTCTGAAAATGGTGTAGGTAAAGTGTCTAAAGATGAGCATTTTGATAAAGTCACAGTGTTGCACTATTCTGGCAATGTTAGTAGTCCAAAACATGCCATGTGGATGCGCTTTACTGAGGACAGATTAGACAGAGGTAGAGAGAAGTTGATATATGAAGATAGGGTGGACAGGACTGTGAAGGAGGCAGAAGAAAAACTGACTGAAGTGTCACAGTTTTTTCGTGACAAAACTGAAAAGCTAAATGATGAACTGCAGTCCCCAGAGAAAAAGGCACGCCCTAAAAATGGCAAAGAATATTCTTCTCAAAGCTCTACCAGCAGCAGCCCTGAGAAAGTACTGCTGACAGAACTGCTGGCATCCAGTGATGAATGGGTTAAGGCAAGACAGCATGGCTCTGATGGACAAGGCTTCCCCAAGGCCGAGGAGAAGGCATCCGGTCTGCCCAGCAGCCCAGAGAAGACGGCTCTCTCCCAACAGACTGAGGACAGCAAGTCCACAGTGGAAGCCAAAGGAAGTATTTCACAGAGCAAAGCACCAGACGGGCCCCAGTCTGGATTCCAGCTCAAACAATCTAAACTCAATTCCATTAGATTAAAATTTGAACAAGGCACACATGCAAAAAGTAAAGACATGTCTCAAGAAGACAGAAAGTCAGATGGCCAGTCCAGAATCCCAGTTAAAAAAATACAGGAGAGCAAGCTACCCGTCTACCAAGTTTTTGCTAGAGAAAAACAGCAGAAGGCCATAGACCTCCCAGATGAAAGTGTATCTGTGCAAAAAGATTTCATGGTTTTAAAAGCCAAAGATGAGCATGCCCAGAGCAACGAAATTGTTGTAAATGATTCTGGCTCTGATAATGTGAAAAAACAGAGAACTGAAATGTCAAGTAAAGCAATGCCTGACTCTTTTTCTGAGCAGCAGGCTAAAGACTTGGCATGTCATATAACCTCAGATTTAGCAACTAGGGGACCATGGGACAAAAAGGTCTTTAGAACATGGGAGAGTTCGGGAGCCACTAACAATAAGTCTCAGAAAGAAAAACTTTCGCATGTACTTGTTCATGATGTAAGAGAGAATCACATTGGTCACCCTGAGAGTAAAAGTGTTGATCAAAAGAATGAATTTATGTCTGTGACTGAGAGAGAACACAAATTGTTAACAAATGGGTCTCTCTCAGAAATTAAAGAAATGACTGTAAAATCTCCCTCCAAAAAAGTCTTATATAGGGAATATGTTGTGAAAGAAGGGGACCATCCAGCTGGATTGCTTGATCAGCCTTCCAGGAGGAGCGAGAGCTCAGCAGTGTCACACATCCCCGTCAGAGCTGCTGATGAGAGGAGAATGCTGTCTTCTAATATTCCCGATGGTTTCTGTGAACAGTCGGCATTTCCAAAACATGAACGATCACAAAAGTTGTCCCAGTCGAGCATGAGTAAAGAGACAGTTGAGACACAGCACTTGAATTCTATAGAGGATGAAAAAGTTACCTATTCAGAAGTCAGCAAAGTTTCCAAACACCAGAGTTATGTAGGTTTATGCCCACCTCTCGAGGAAACGGAAACCTCGCCCACCAAATCTCCTGATTCTTTAGAGTTTAGCCCAGGAAGGGAATCTCCCTCTAGTGATGTATTCGACCGTAGTCCCATTGACGGATTGGAAAAACTCGCACCACTAGCCCAGACAGAGGGAGGGAAAGAGATAAAAACTTTACCCGTTTATGTCAGTTTTGTACAAGTGGGGAAGCAATATGAGAAGGAGATACAACAAGGAAGTGTAAAGAAAATCATAAGTCAGGAATGTAAGACAGTACAAGAAACCAGGGGGACCTTTTATACAACCAGACAGCAGAAGCAACCTCCTTCTCCCCAAGGTAGCCCAGAAGATGATACTCTAGAGCAAGTATCCTTTCTAGACAGCTCTGGGAAAAGCCCTTTAACCCCAGAAACACCCAGTTCAGAGGAAGTGAGTTATGAATTTACATCTAAGACACCTGACTCGCTCATAGCTTATATACCAGGCAAGCCCAGCCCAATTCCCGAGGTTTCTGAGGAGTCAGAGGAGGAGGAACAGGCCAAGTCAGCCTCCCTAAAGCAGGCTACAGTGGAGGAGATAGCAGTCGAGCGGCGTGAAATGCCTAATGGCGTGAGCAAAGACTCTAACCAAAGACCCAAAAGTAACAGAGTTGCCTATATTGAATTTCCCCCTCCTCCACCACTGGATGCAGACCAGATTGAATCAGATAAGAAGCATCATTATCTCCCAGAAAAAGAGGTTGACATGATTGAAGTCAATCTGCAAGATGAGCATGACAAGTACCAGCTGGCTGAACCTGTCATTAGAGTACAGCCACCTTCACCAGTTCCTCCCGGGGCAGACGTCAGTGATTCCAGCGATGATGAGTCTATTTATCAGCCAGTCCCAGTTAAAAAATACACCTTCAAATTAAAGGAAGTGGATGACGAACAAAAAGAAAAACCCAAAGCTTCTGCTGAAAAGGCTTCCAACCAGAAAGAACTGGAAAGTAACGGATCTGGAAGAGATAACGAATTTGGCCTTGGCCTTGATTCACCTCAGAACGAAACTGCCCAGAATGGGAACAATGACCAGTCCATCACAGAGTGTTCCATTGCCACCACAGCGGAGTTTTCTCATGACACGGATGCCACAGAGATAGACTCTCTGGATGGCTATGACCTGCAGGATGAAGATGATGGCTTGACAGAGAGTGATTCTAAACTCCCTAGTCAAGCCATGGAAATTAAGAAAGATATATGGAACACAGAGGGCATTCTGAAGCCAGCTGACCGCTCTTTTAGCCAAAGTAAACTTGAAGTTATCGAGGAGGAAGGCAAGGTGGGACCAGATGATGACAAGCCACCTTCTAAAAGTTCTTCATCTGAAAAGACTCCTGAAAAGACTGATCAGAAGTCAGGGGCCCAGTTCTTCACACTGGAAGGCAGACATCCTGACCGATCAGTGTTTCCTGATACTTACTTCAGTTACAAAGTAGATGAAGAGTTTGCCACTCCTTTCAAAACAGTAGCTACCAAAGGTCTAGATTTTGACCCTTGGTCCAGTAATCGAGGGGACGATGAAGTTTTTGACAGTAAATCACGGGAAGATGAAACTAAGCCATTTGGGCTGGCGGTAGAAGACCGCTCTCCAGCAACAACCCCTGATACAACGCCAGCCAGAACGCCAACTGATGAAAGTACCCCAACTAGTGAGCCTAACCCCTTCCCATTTCATGAAGGAAAAATGTTTGAGATGACTCGCAGTGGTGCAATTGACATGAGCAAGAGGGATTTTGTTGAAGAGAGGCTCCAATTTTTCCAGATTGGTGAGCATACTTCTGAAGGGAAGTCAGGGGACCAGGGGGAAGGGGATAAAAGTATGGTCACTGCCACACCACAGCCACAGTCAGGGGACACCACTGTAGAAACCAATCTAGAGAGAAATGTAGAGACACCTACAGTGGAACCTGACCCCAGCAGCCCGACCAGCGGAGAGTGTCAGGAAGGCCCATCCAGTAGTGGCCCCCTGGAGAAATCAGCAGCAACCACTAACACCTCTAAAGTTGACCCCAAGTTGCGCACGCCTATAAAAATGGGAATTTCTGCATCCACCATGACCATGAAGAAAGAAGGCCCTGGAGAAATAACAGATAAGATAGAAGCTGTGATGACCAGTTGTCAGGGATTAGAAAATGAAACTATAACAGTGATTTCAAATACAGCCGATAGCCAGACGGGCGTTAGGCCCCATGAAAAACATGATTTTCAAAAAGATAACTTTAATAACAACAACAATTTGGATTCTTCCACTATACAGACAGATAACATGATAAGTAATATAGCTCTGACAGAACATTCTGCACCCACTTGTACCACAGAGAAAGATAACCCAGTGAAAGTCTCATCAGGAAAAAAGACAGGGGTACTACAAGGACACTGTCTAAGGGATAAGCAGAAAGTTCTTGGAGAACAGCAAAAAACAAAGGAATTGATAGGGATTAGGCAAAAATCCAAACTTCCCATAAAGGCCACTTCACCAAAAGATACCTTCCCACCGAACCATTTGCCAAACATTAAAGCAAGTAAAACGAAGCAGGTTAGTCAATCCGAGAAAACCAAAGGCCTTAATGCTTCTTCATGTGTAGACTTAAAGTCCAGAATTCCAGTGAAAAACACACACAGGGATAACACAGTCGCAGTTAGAAAAGCATGTGCCACACAAAAGCAAGGGCAGCCAGAGAAAGGCAAGGCCAAACAGCTTCCATCCAAGTTGCCAGTAAAGGTAAGACCCACCTGTGTCACTACCACCACCACCTCCACCTCCACCTCCACCGCCACCACCACCACCACCAGCACGAGCACAGTTAAAGTTAGGAAAAGTCAGCTCAAGGAAGTATGTAAACATTCCATTGAATATTTTAAGGGAATTAGTGGTGAGACCTTAAAGCTTGTGGACCGCCTCTCTGAAGAAGACAAAAAGATGCAGTCCGAGCTGTCCGATGAGGAAGAGAGTACCTCAAGAAACACGTCGTTGTCCGAGACTTCCCGGGGTGGCCAGCCTTCAGTTACAACGAAGTCTACTAGAGATAAGAAAACAGAGGCAGCACCTTTAAAATCAAAGAGTGAAAAGGCCGGCAGTGAGAAAAGGAGCAGTAGAAGGACTGGTGAGAATGAAGGCAGTCAGGTCTCTCGAGCACTCTGCTCACATCCTGGAGAACGAGCATAGTTTGTAAACACTTTCCAACTCGTAGACCCTAGTGCATGAACTGTTGTGATTGCCTGTGGAGTGACTTAACCGTAGTTTCTCATTCTGTCATTGTCATCTGTGTGTGCTGTCGTATATACTCTTCTTTCTGCCTTTTGATCAAACTACACGGTAGACAGCTAGGGAAGCATGCTGAAGATATTGGTGTCATTCAAGATGAACAAACTTTTTTTTTAATGTGCTAATGGATATGATTCTGTCAAAGTTAAAGCACAGATGTTGAAATCCCATCATGGTGTTTTCACCAACCCAACACTTCTGTAATATGTTGTAAACTAACTAGCTCGTCAGCATGTTCAATCCCATTACATTGAGCATCCATGTAGTCTGACATTTGGCCTGATGCAGGTGAAAAACAAATGAGCCATGTGCAAAGAAGTGTTCATGTAGGTGACTAGGACACATTTAAGTGTACAGTGTTAGCATTAGTCTCTCTGTAAAATCTGCGTACTGCTAAAAGCAATTTTCCAGTATCGTATCTTTCTTGATGATTATTTTAATTAAGAAATTGTAAATCGTAGGTCCACAGAGTCCATGTGAACGGACAGATATCAGGATGGCAATAGTAGCCGACCACCTGGGACTTAGTTGGACAGGTAAGTGTATACACCCCTGAATGAAACCAATTAGCTTCTTCATTTCTTTGTCTTACAAGCAGTTCAATATATTTATTTTAAAAACAGAAACAAGCAACTAGTAAAAAACATTTTTATAACCAATAATTTTATCTACCCAGAGATAAATACTGATTGAACCTTATATACTGTGTTTTTCCAACACCTTTGCTATGCATATGCACTAAGAAGTTGAAATTTAAATTTATTTTACCTTAAATTTAAGCATTTTCTTCACAATGTCAATTCTGCAGTATAGGATAACCTTTTACCGAATGGCAAGTTTATCTTGTAGCACAAAATAAAAACACAGCTAAGGCCTTTAATTAATCCAAATTTTTTTCACATGGTTTATGTCCTTAAAGCAGCTTTCTAGGCAATGGCTCAATTAACCCATGCCTAGGTTGCACAAATTTTATTCATTCACTGTGAAGTACTCTTCACAGTTTTTATGACATACACATAAAATTTTATGTTTATTTGCCTGATACTCTTCTTTAGGTAAACTCACTTTTATGTTCAAATATTTATTTAAAAGAAAAATCTTGTATCACTTTGATAAGAGGAAAGGATTATCTGCAATATCTATGTAAACAATGACAGTTCAAATTTTAAATTAAAAATGTTTAAATATGTAAATATATTTAATTCACAAAAGTTGAATTCTATAAAATAAATGAAACTATGAACAGTGCGTAGAAAAGGAATATTTGATTTTGTTTCATTAAAGATGAAGATGGCCAGGCATGGTAGCTCATGCCTGAAATCCCAGCACTGTAGGAGGCCAAGGCAGGCAGATCACTTGAGGTCAGGACCAGCATACCTAACATGGTAGAACCCTGTCTCTACTAAAAATACAAAAATTAGCCAGGCATGGTGGGTGCTTGCCTCCTGTCTCAGGTACTTGGAAGGCCAAGGCGGGAGAATCCCTTGAACCCAGGAGGTGGAGGCTGCAGTGACCCGAGATCATACCACTGCATTCCAGTCTAGGTGACAGAGTGAGATTCCATCTCAGTAATAATAATAATAATAAAAGCTGATGAGATTTTGTATCAATTGGACAATTCTGCATTATAATTTTGAGCTTAACAGGACCCTCAAAATCCTCCCTCATATGAACCTGAGAAATTTTAAGTTTTATAGGTTAAGTATATTTTTTAATGCATGGCCAAATAATAAATATTCATTATCATCACATTTAAAGTCATCTTGAATACCATTAGCAACATACATTCCATACAGTTATCTCTGTTTAAAGGGAGAATATGAAACTAGATAATAGGAAGCAATCTCATCTAATTTTTTTTTGCTTGGAAAGCCCTCAGCCCCCATCCACCCTCACCACCACTACCCCATATCAAACCCTCCTCTCTTCAGCAACCTAGTCTCTGCTCTCAGGTATACTGCTCATGACCAGGAGCTGAGTGGAGTTATAAAAAGACAGGTGGTCTGAGTAATGTTTTGTAGGCAGTTGAGAGTTAATAGTAATTTGTTATGTATAAATATTTACTAATATCTAATATTTATATTTTAACATTGGACATTGTAATCTGAAAATATACTGGAGCAAATGTTTGTTTTGCTTTATTATATGCTCAGAACTGTTAAATTATTTTTCTTAAGCAAATACAGTCAGTAAATTTTTAGAGATGTGGCATAATGGCCAGACAAAAAGCCATAAACCTAAAATTCTTAGTTAGCAAAGTCAGTGTCTTTGCTCTTTATTAAGTCTCTAGACAGTGGATACAATTTTGTCACGAAGTCCTGCTGGGCAGTGGGAGTATTGTCTCTTAAAATACAGAGATGAAGAACTTAAAGTAGTTAACTTCTCTAACTAGAATTACTGTATGCTCAATGATAATTATTAAGAATATTAAGCATTTAAGAGAACAAAATTTACATCTGTCCCTTGAAACCACTATTAACACCTTATGTGCTTTTTTAAAAAACTAAGAACTTTTTATAATGTTATACATATAATGTAATCTGCTTTTTTATTTGTAATTGTGGTTTTCTACAAAATTAAATATTTTCTGATCTTGGTTTTAATTCATAAAAAAATAAACCAATAGTTGTACCTTATGATGGTGGTTTTCTAACTATGATTCACATTGCCTCCATGAGTCATGAAATCAGTTCATGCTTTGTTTTTGTTTTTAAATGGAATATTATATAAAAGAAAAGTACTGTGTATTACGTGTATTAAGGCTAAATTTTGCTTCATGGACATCTGATTTTATTTATGTAAACACCATGATATATAATGTATTTTTAACCTTAGGCCATTATCGAAACAATTGTTTGAAAGCCACTGCCTTAAATTAACTTTTATCCTTTTGTTCAACATGTGGATTGTTTTCAATGAACATTCATGTATATAAATTGTTGTATATGACCTTTATATATTGTCAGGGTACATTTCTAAATGTGAATCACTTGGTCAAAAGATAGTGGATTTCTTTGAGCTTCTGAATGCATTTTGCAAAATTGATGGAAGTATTTTTTAAGGGGGATAGAGTCTTGACCAATTCCTTTCCCATGGGATCATTTTTGCCCATTTCTTACTTTTTGTCATCATTTTGATAAACTTTTAATATACAAAAAAATATATATATAGTGGGAACTAAGTCTCCTTCCCTTCTCTGACTTCTAAGGCAGCCACCAATACTGAGATCTTACGTATCTTTTCAAAGACACGCTGCAGTTTACAAGATTGAATATATGAGTATATATGATATATACAAGTAGATGGACAGAAAGTTGCATCCCTTTAATTTTTAATCAAGTAGCTTCATATCATATATGATTATCTGGCCTGGAGTCATCATATAACCTTCTGTGTGGAGTTTATGAAAGTTCAAAGCATAAAAGGTGGAATATTACGTAAATAAAAGATACACTTCATGAAAATTGATTAGCACAAACCCTATCAGCATCTCTTGTGCCATATACACGAATTGTATACCCCTATCTTATAATTTTCTCAAATTGTAGAGAATTTGGCTGAATTAAAAAAAAATCATGCAATATCCTCTTTGTAAACACCAAATGTCTTTCTTTTTTCTTTTTTTTTTTTTTTTTGGAGACAGGGTCTCACTCTGTTGCCCAGGCTGAAGTGCAGTGGCACAGTCTCAGCTCACTGCAACACCTGCCTCCTGGGTTCAAGTGATCCAACTCAGCCTCCTGAGTAGCTGGGACCAAAGGCATGCGCCACCGTGCCTGGCTAATTTTTGTGGGTGGTGGTGGTTGTTGTTGTTGTGTATGTGTGTAGATGGGGGTTTTGCTGTGTTTCCCAGGCTGGTCTCAAACTCCTGGACATAAGCAGTCCACCTGCCTCAGCCTCCTGAAGTGCTGGGATTATAGGTATGGGCCACTGTGCCTAGCCTAAGTCCAAAAATCTTTATAAGATCCCTTTAAAAAAGTCTGATTATAAGTCATTATCTAAGGAAAGTTAAGTCACAGCCTGCGTATGGTCACTACTTTGCTATGAAACCAAGTATATAAAGATTAATGCCTGAGGCTGTACTTCAGCTTGACTGTAAAATTCCTTTTTCTTTTTGTGGTAATTGAGCATTACTTTTGTGAAACATGTATGATAAAAGTAGAATATGCAATCTTAGTAACTCTCTTTCTTTTCTACAGAACTGGCAAGGGAACTGAATTTTTCAGTGGATGAAATAAATCAAATACGTGTGGAAAACCCCAATTCTTTAATTTCTCAAAGCTTCATGTTATTAAAAAAATGGGTTACCAGAGACGGAAAAAATGCCACAAGTATGCCAAAATTATATTATTTTAACTTTCAAAATTGCATATATGTAATATTTTAGATAAGCTGACTGTTAGGTTCATTCAAGTATTGTTCTAATTTTCTGTAACCTTTAATGTAGAAAAATAAGAGTAATCATGAGGTAATAACAAGTCTTTTGAAGTTATACTTGTATAATTTAGTATTAACAGTTTACACTTCTATTCTTCAGAAGCTTTTTGGAAAGCAAGTAGCAGGGAATTTTTTTTGCATTTGGCCTGCCATTCTCTCTGTGACCATCAAGACTCAAAAAATAATTTGTTATTAAATCAGTTTCTGGGACACAGTCATCGGAAACACTCTGAAGTTACCGCTATGGCTGGAGGTGGATGTGCAGAGAGAGAAGACAGAATCATATTAGGAGAGCAAATACATTTATTCAGCTTGGTCGGCTCTACTCTTGTTGGGTTTGGTTCTGTTGGCTGGTGGGAGGGCGGTAGTGCTGTATATTCACAAGTGCCAACCCACAACAATGTGGAATGAGTTATTGTGGGTTTGCCTATGTCAACTTGACCTTAGAAAGTCATTAAAATGCTAAGTACCAAGTATGAGGATGACCTATTTTGACATTCTAAGAGGAAAGGAAATTATTTAGTTTTACTAGATCCCCTTACAACTAAAAGGAGTCTAGCTACTTTAAGGACCATCTGCTCTGTTATAGCAGATCTACAGCTTTACAAAGTGATGATTAAGACTCTGACATCTTCCCTGTAGCAGCGAGCATTCTGAGTCCTCTGGATGGGAAGATTGCAGAGGTGGAGTAAGAAGGAGCTAAGATGTCAGGAGGGTTGCGAAAGCCATGCCTTTGTGTAGATATTGTGCTGATGGAAAGAACAAAATTTAATTGGGTTTTCAACCTTTCTTCTCCTTTTCAGCTGATGCCTTAACTGCGGTCTTGACAAAAATTAATCGAATAGATATAGTGACACTGCTAGAAGGACCAATATTTGATTATGGAAATATTTCAGGCACCAGAAGTTTTGCAGATGAGAACAATGTTTTCCATGACCCTGTTGATGGTAATTGAATTTAGTGTTCATATTTATTCAATCATTTGATAAAATTTGAAAGTGCAGTCAGACAAGGCAGTCACTTAAAACCAACTAAACTGTGATTTGCTTGACTTAATTTCTCATTTTCACAGTATTTTCTCTGCCACAGTCTGCAAATAAACACTCTGATAGCAGAGCAAACTTGGTAAACATCTCTGTTTATATACAATCTAAAACATGAAGTATGAAAGCATAAGGTATCTGAAAGAGTTGGTATTTCTAATATTTCATATGACCAAATGGGAGAAAGTTAAATATCTAGAGAATGAATTGCTTTTGCACTTTTAATTTTTATATTAACCCCCGAAACTAGTTACTCCTTTTGTTAATATATAGGTAAAACAAATGAGCCATTTTTATCAAATAAGCAAGGTATTGAGTAAACTGTAAGCATGCATACAAATTGTAAGGTAAAATGGCAGTTTACTGTTGTGTCACCAAGTATTTAAATGTGCACTGAAAAAGACTGATATATCGTACAAATAAATGCTTTAGTTATTTAGCATTATTTTAACTTCATATGCTGCCATTTATTTGGAAAAACTACTTGATCTATTGTATATCAAAGCAGCATGATTTCTAATTCAACCAGCATAGATGTTACTAATAATGATTCCTCTTTCACATTAGCTTAATTTATATAATAATCTTGTCACTTTTTCCTCATTATGTAAATTGGTGCTTTTTTCAACTGAAGTATTAAGAAAAACATAATAAATATCATACTATGTTTTTCAAAATAATCCTGTCTTACCTTCACAAATGGAAAATTTATTCCTACAATAAATTTTTGTTTTGTTTTTGAGACAAAGTCTTGCTCTGTCACCCAGGCTGGAGTGCAAAGGCATGATCTCAGTTCACTGCAACCACTGCCTCTTGGGTTCAAGCCATTCTTCTATCTCAGCCTCCCGAGTAGGTGGGACTACAGGTGTACACCACCACACCAGCTAAGTTTTTGTATTTTTAGTAGAGACAAGGTTTCACTGTGTTGGCCAGGCTGGTCTCGAACTCCTGACCTCAAGTGATTCACCCACCTCAGTCTCCCAATGTGTTGGAATTATAAGCATGAGCCATCCCAGCCAGCGTCTACAATGAATTTTGAGTAGAAAATCTGATCATAGTGTGGAGGCAGGAAGAGGAACTAAGAATCTTTTTCTACTATTCAATTTTGAAACTGGCAAAGTTAGACTAACAAGAGTCACTGACTTCTAATTAACTTGTGGAAAAATATCTCAAAATTCTTAGAAAGTTTCTGCTTATTAAAAAGTTTAAGTCTGGCTGAGCGCAGTCTGTCTCTTAAAAAAAAAAAAAAGGTTGTCAATAAAAAAATTAAAGTATACTTGTTATCCATGTAACAAACACAATGGGTAATGAAGTAAAAAGCAGTTGTTTTTAGGTTTATAAATACCTTACACCCTTGGGAAAATGCTCCCTTTGAGCTATGTCTTATATGCAAGGCCATGTATTGGCAACCAAATGTTTTTTGCACTAGATAAACGTAGATCATCATACCAAATTTTAAATTATTGGTAAGTTATAGTTTATACATTCTTCTAATATTATTTACTGGGAAAAATATTTTTTAAGTAACTAATAAAAAAGATCACCAGAACATGACAGAAGCAGTTGATGGCCTTGAAAGCTTCATTTAATTTGAACGTTTTAAAATTGGAATATCTCCTTAAAATACAGTCACAAGGGCTTTCTGTTGCTGTATCTTAATATTTTTATATTCCTTGTTCAAAATTTCTTAGGGAAATTTAGAAACGTGCATGTGAAGTAATTTCACTTAGGCAGATTATAAACCTCAGCTAATCTTAGCCAGCTTTTCAACAGGAGTCTGGTTTATAGATGACCATAACTGAAAAACGTTCACTTACCTATAGCAACTTGAGTTTACAACAGCAGCTAAATTGGTATTTACCTTGGACTGATGGAAAGATTAGACTTTCATTTTGTAGACCAACAATTCAGAAACTGTGCTTTGTTGCTTTTTTCCTGTCTCTCCTCTTCGTTGAACTTTTATGAAACTTCCTTTCCTCACCATGACCAGACCATTGTTGACTCTTCTCTCTGCTAAGGCAGAAAAATGCTTCCATAGTCCACGCAGCAATGTTTAAAACGAGGGATTAGCTCCCCCCTCCCCTTTCGTGTAGACTGGTTAATAAACACTGTGTTTCATAGCATTGTTGTGAATATTCAGAGTGCTCCCTGCAAATGGTTTTCCTACTATCTCTGTTGTGTATCATTTCTCTTTATCTGATTTGTGGTTCTGAGTGGACTCTACCACCAACTTCACCAAGACCTTCATGTACACCACAGCCCTTTCATCTCGGTCATCTCTGTTTTTGTACAACACCCAAAAACTACATGGAGTCTTTTAAACTTGGTCTGTTTTTTAAATCTTTTTCTTAACATCTTTTTAAATTTTATTTTCCCAGTGCTACTGCTCTAAAACTAATAATTATTTCTTTCCAAAGATTAAATCCATTTTTCTTTGCTGTAAATTTCATGCGAAAGGAGGACTAGGTTGCATTGCTCCTACATACAATTCTTAAAATAAGTTGTAGATAATTACAAAAATTGGTTTCTTGTGGCTTGCTGTATTCAGTTCACCACAGTATGAACTTTGCATGCTAAATATAGAAAGATAATAAGAATCTCATACAATGACAACTAACTTTATATTGGCTTAGTCTGCATACTTTGGATTAGTGTGCATATTTAAGTTATTGTATCATAACTGCCAAAACTGATAGAAACAATTGATATCTTAATTGGTATTCTATTTTATTGGAGTTTGCACTAGGCTTTTAATTTCATTGTGTTACATTTAATTGAACTAAACTGATAAATGTATCAACATTAATCTGTAATTCATCATACATTTTCATGCCTGATATAATTTTAGTCATTCCATATGTTTTTGTTTCATGTATTCTAATTCATTCCAGTCAGTCCAAATGTACTGTCTTCCATAGGTTATCCTTCCCTTCAAGTGGAACTGGAAACCCCCACAGGGTTGCACTACACACCACCTACCCCTTTGCAGCAAGATGATTATTTTAGTGATACCTCTAGCATAGAATCTCCCTTTAGAACCCCCAGTAGACTGAGTGATGGGCTAGTGCCTTCCCAGGGGAACATAGAGCGTTCCACAGATGGACCTCCAGTTGTAACTGCAGAAGACACTTCCTTAGAAGACAGCAAACTGGAAGACTCAGTGCCTTTAACAGAAATGCCTGAAGCAGTGGATGTAGATGAGAGCCAGTTGGAGGATGTATGTCTGAGTGAGTATCCTCAATACCTCGGAAATTTGGCTGGGGCCCCAAAAGATGTTAAACCAGCACAGCCTAGAAAACTAGGAGTAAGCTCTGCGCAGCAGGAGAAAGGAAAATCTGGTCCTGATGAGGAGATGACGGAAGAGAAACTCAAATCTCTATTTGAGGACATCCATCTTGAAGAAGGAGTAGAGTCTGAGGAGATGACAGAAGAAAAAGTACAGGCTATTCTTAAGCGTGTTCAGCAAGCAGAACTGGAAATGTCTTCAATTACAGGTTGGCAGAATGAGACATCAAGTGGAAACCTAGAATCGCCCGCTCAAGCTCGAAGAGTAACTGGTGGGTTACTAGATCGACTGGATGACAGGTATGGCTGTTTCAAAAAAAGGAAAGTGAAATGCAGGTTACTTGTTAAGAGTTTATCTTAAATACATGCTTTTTAGCGGTGACTTCTAAATTACCATTCTAGTTCTGGAATAAAACATGCTTTAAAGGTCAGTTCTTTCTGCTAATCTGGAAAGGAAAGTGAATTTAAATTCAAATTAAATTCTCAAAACTATTGAGAGGCTGAAATGAAATACAAGAAAATTTACATACATGCCCAAGATTTAGGTGTCGTCTTTACTTTAGAAGACTATTCTTTTCTAGTTTATTACTTGTATGATTCTTTCAATATAGCCAATAATTATTGTTCATTTAAAATAATGAGTAAGGTAGGCAATCACTTGAGGCCAGGAGTTCGAGACCAGCCTGGCCAACGTGGTGAAACCCCATCTCTACTAAAAATACAAAAATTAGCCGGGTGTGCCGGCACGTGGCTGTAATCCCAGCTACTCAGGGGGCTGAGACAGAAGAATTGCTTGAACCCACAAGGTGGAGGTTGCAGTGAGCCGAGATCACACCATTGCACTCCAGCCTAGGTGACAGAGTGAGACTGTCTCAAAAAAATAAGAATAATAATGAATGAAAGTCCATGTTGTTTAGAAATATAAATATTTCTTTTTCCTAACTGCAAACATAAATATGCTCATTATAACACTTAAAATGCAGATTAAACAAATCAATATACCCTGTCACCTACCAATAACATTTTGGTGGGTTTTCTTCTATGCAGAGTTTTTTAAATGTCTTAATGTAAAAAGTGCAGAGAAGCAAAAAGAAAAGACATCTATTCTCCTACCATACTAGAAAAAACTGATTTTACATACCCTTCTATTTTTCTACATGAGTCTTGTTTTTCAAACAGGTATATGGTTTTTTATACCAAATGTTGCCATGGTAGACATTCGTCTTTACCCAAAATAATTTCCTCGTCATGAATCTGGTTAATTCTTATACTGGCCTTGCTCTAGAAAGGTGAGAGTGTAGAATATGAGGCATAGGTTCAAATCCCACCACCATTAGGTATGCATTTTGTGATTTTGGATGAATCTGCGCTCTAAGAATGTCACTCTGATATCTTTAAATATAAGAATACTACTACCTTCCTTAAACAGATTTATAGATAGAAAATAAAGGATGTATCATGTCTACCAAATGACTGACACAAATAGTAATCTCTCAGTAGCACTAGGTATTATTTTTATTTACATACACATTAGACTAAAACATATTTTACTTCAGTGACAGCTCGATAAACTTTGGTTGGACACAAAAGAACTTACATTGTTTCATAACCAAACTTTAATTTTCATGTCATGAATAAGCTTCTTGCTCAATAAAAATTCCCAAAGAGGGAGTTTACAAAACTGCTTTTGAAAATTGGAGGCATGAATGAATTCTGCCTACCGTGTACAAAAGAGACAGTTCTAAAGACGACAAACAGTACTAATTTTGATGTGTATGTTCAGATCTAGTCATACAACTTATAGTTACATATCAGGGAATAGATATAGGAAAGATGTTCATTATTAAACACGCTGAAAATCCTTCTTTTATATAGGCTCTGCCAGTAAATTATATAGAAAAAACACTACTGAATCCCCTGATTCCATAGGAGGAGGAAAATGCCAGCCACTTTGCTCCTGTTATCAGAATATGTAGGGTAGGAGAACTTAGGTAAGCAATGTGGACTGGGGAATAGAAAATTAAACCAAAGTTATACAGCTATATATTAGAGGATCTTCACAGTATACTTGGATTATTTATCCTTACACAGAGAGAATAGTGTGCAATGGATATCTTTTAAAAATAAGTTCAGATAATCAGACTCCAATTTAAAGGAATACACACACACACATAAGTATATATTATACATATAAAGCATTGTATTAGTTATTGCCTAATAGTGGTAATAAGCAAAGATGCTAAAAATAATACATAAGCTACCAAAAAAAGTGAAAAATAGTGTATACTGAAACTTGTAAAAAAACTTAGAAGTCAATTTAAAAGAAAGCATTGGAAAGGGAAGGTTTTTTTTGTTTTTTGTTTTGTTTTTTTGAGACATAGTTGCCCTCTTTTTACCCAGGCTGGAGTGCAATGGCGCGATCTCCGCTCACTGCAACCTACGCCTCCCGGGTTCAAGCAATTCTCCTGGCTCAGCCTCCAGAGTAGCTGGGATTACAGCCATACGCCACCAAGCCCGGCTAATTTTTTGTATTTTTAGTAGAGAAAGGGTTTCTCCATGTTGGTCAGGCTGGTCTTGAACTTCCAACCTCAGGTGATCCGCCCGCCTTGGCCTCCCAAAGTGCTGGGATTACAGGTATGAGCCACTGTGCCTGACCAGGAAAGAGTTTTACTAGTTAAGGGAAAAACAGTTCTCTCAGTAGGTAGAAAAGGGTGTGCAACACTCAAATCACTTGTGAGATTAGCAGAGGTCAAGAGTAGAGAAAAATGAGATTCAAGTAAAGGTATTAGAGTTGGAAAAGTGATGTCAGGATTCATGACTGAAAACATACACTGAGAATTGGAATTTGGGGTTCTTGGGATAATACCACAGCCTTGACCACAGGAATTCATTTTGTTCTTTTTGGAAGACAAGGTGCAATTTTTTATACAGCGGCTCAATCTTTGCTCACTGCAACCTTTGCCTCCCAGGCTAAAGCCATCCACCAACTTCCACCTCCCAAGTAGCTGGGACTACAGGCACGCACCACTGTGCCCTGCTAATTTTTGAATTTTGTTGGTAGAGACATGGTTTCACCACACCCAGGCCAGTCTCAAATTCCTGGAATCAAGGAATCCTTCTGCCTCAGTCTCCCAAAGTGCTGGGAATACAGGCAAGAACCACTGAGCCTGGCCAGCAGTTTATTGTTTACTGGTGATGGAAAAGCGTTCTGAAATATCTTTGTTTTTAAGATTGGTGGGCTTAGAACTCTAGGTATGTCCATGAACCTCTCAGGATCATTTGTCAAGATGCTAGAATTCAAATAGTTGTAGAACTGCAATTTAAATATTTAGATGAGAGCATCGCTAAGCAATTTGGCAACTGAGGTCTGGGGGATGTCTAGAAGCTGTGTAGCACCTCCTGACACCCATACCCTTAAGAGCCCCTTACATTTTATTTATTTATCTTGAGACAGAGTCTCACTCTGTCACCTAGGCTGGAGTGCACTCACCTAGGCTGGAGTGCAGTGGCTCACTACAACCTCCGCCTCTCGAGTTCAAGCAATTCTCCTGCCTCAGCCTCCTGAGTAGCTGGGATTACAGGCATGCACCACCACACCTCGCTAATTTTATTATTTTTAGTAGAGATGGGGCTTCGCCATGTTGACCAGGCTGGTCTCGAACTCTTAACCTCGTGATCTGCCCACCTCACCCTCCCAAAGTGCTGAGATTACAGGCATGAGCCACTGTGCCCAGTCACATTTTAAATCCAGTGGCCACATTTTTCAAGCTTTTCTATTTTATGCCTTCGGAAGTAGTTTAAAAACACAGTTCTTAAAACTTTAGAGCTTCTGAAACCTATATTTAGGCATATGCTGCCATTGTAAGTTTGCAAATTTTCTTTTACAGCCCTGACCAGTGTAGAGATTCCATTACCTCATATCTCAAAGGAGAAGCTGGAAAATTTGAAGCAAATGGAAGCCATACAGAAATCACTCCAGAAGCAAAGACAAAACCTTACTTTCCAGAATCCCAAAATGATATAGGAAAACAGAATACTAAGGAAACTCTGAAACCAAAAATACATGGATCTGGTCATGTTGAAGAACCAGCATCACCACTAGCAGCATATCAGAAATCTCTAGACGAAACCAGCAAGTTTGTAATAGAAGAGACTAAACCCTGTGTGCCTGTCAGTATGAAAAAGATGAGTAGGACTTCTCCCCCAGATGGCAAGCCAAGGCTTAACCTCCATGAAGAAGAGGGGTCCAGTGGGTCTGAGCAAAAGGTATGTCATCTGGTCATCCAGTAGCTGTCATTGAAGTGGAAAGTATTGATGCTTTACTTCTTTGGATTAATTTTGTAGCCCGGGGGGGTTTTTTTGTTTTTTGTTGTTGTTGTTGTTGTTTGTTTGTTTTTTAACTATTTCTAAATTATAAATGTGTGAGATTATAGCACTAATGGTGGAGGTAAAGAAAGTACTGAGTAAAACACATAAGTAAAAGAGTTCTGAGTAAAATGCATGCCATTTGATCATACCTTCATTCATTGTGAAGGGAAAGGGAATAAGTATCTGTTTAGCCATTTTTAGGAGGGACAAGAACCAGAGAGACATTAAGAAACTAGTTCAAGATCCAGTATTTTATCTGGGATTTAGGTTTTCTAACTCCTACTCCCTCTTCCTCCTCATGGGAGGAAGATAATCATTCTGATCCTTTCTGATTCCTTGGCATAAACAGTCTATAGCATCTGACTCATCTAAGTTCTCTCCTGTATGGTCTGTTGTCTGAAAGGTGTTTTAAAATTTAAAGAGATGAAAGTCCAAGCCTAAAATGAGGTGAGTTGACAGCAGTTAGAAATTTAAAGTTAGCAGTATCATTTTTATAAATTTTATGTCTAAGTTGATGATTGTCTTAACACATGTTTCTAATCATTTTAAAACCTTACTATGATGAATTTGCTTGCTTTTCATACTTGTTTTTGTGGTACCATCTAATAGGTTTTTTTCTTTGAGGTTTGCTATTTTTAGATATTAAAAGTATTTTGAACTGAAATTATGACTCATACATGGATATAAGAAAATAAAAACCAGCTCGGTTTCCTATATTTTTTACTGCATTTTACTCTCTCAATTTTTATGTCTTTTCAACAACTCTGCAATTGACAGAAATCGAAAGTTATACATCTTTGGAATAGTAGCATTTGCAGTTTTCCCTAAGACGTATCTAGTTCATTGAAAACCTTACTTTAGTGTTTTGGGAGGAAAAAAACAAGTCTTTTCTGAAAAAATGTTTTCAAGATTGATTTGAGGTTTAGGAAGACTTTCAGCAAACTCTCAATCGCTCAGGAACTAATTATCAGCTTATCAGTAATATCCTTTCCTTTTCCCTTCCGCAGACTATGACTATTTTCAGGCTTGTTAGAAAGGAGAGTAAAAGGAAGTACAGTTCTAGATCATCTGTTTTTTTTCCCTGTTAGTTGCTTTAAGATTTGATGGTGGTAATCAGTTGCTTAAATGATATCCTAAAATAATCTCTAGCTCATTTAGTAACTGCCATCACCAAATTTTATATTAATGGTTTTGGTTTTGTTTTAAGCCTTTAAGTCTTTTTCAGGCCTTTCTTTAACTTCTTCCTGACAAATGTGGTTTTGAATATTGATTTCTATCTTTGACCTGACTCTTAGTATATTTTAGTAGTGTGAGTTTTAGATAAGTTTCCTATTAAAATGATCCCACAAAATATAGAGAGAAGCAGTAACATAGTGGTATTTTTCTTGTGAATGTTCTGCAAAGGGCTGTTAAAGTTCTAAAGGCAAATTACTGTACAAATACATATAAACACTGCTATGTGTATACATGTGCATACGTATGCACTATTGGAAAACCATATTGGCCATTGGCATAAAGATGGTTGAAAATTAAGTTTTAAACCCTGAGTGGAAACTCAGCTGAGTTTGTCAGTAAAGGAAAATAATTTACAATTAGAAAGCATTTTCAAGATTTCTTGTAAAGGAGTTTGTGCCTCTGCTATTGGTTTCGAGTCCTATTCTAATGCATAAAGATTTCATGACCATAAAAATCCATAATGGAATTAAAGCTTCTAGGAGACATGAACCTGACCTCACAAGAAATCCAAAGGTGTTTAGGATGTGTCGTTCGTGGCTATACCATAGTATAATAGCAAACCACCTAGGTCATCTGATGTATGATCTCAGAAAACAGCCCCCTTTTTATCCCCCAAAAAATCAGGTCAAAAGTCCGGGTGCGGCTCTTACACGGATGACTGCCTGCTGTTATAAGGTAAAACTCTGCCATTTTCCACCTGTTTCCATGCAGTGGCCCATAGCAAAGGAGTATTGAGAAAATCCCATTGGGTTTCCTTGTTTTCCCCTTTACCAATTCTTGGATAACTCTCTAAAAGCTATCTGAGCCTGAGATTCTACTTCCATCTGCACTTTAAGGTTAGCAGAGACTCCAGGGAAAAAGTGGAAACCGAAACACTGACCCAATGGCCACTTTTTTTGTATATAAGGGGGTGGTCTCACGTGATTCTTCGTGTTTGTTTTAACCTAGATATTCTTCGACTTTTGAATTCACCCAGGTGAAAACCTATCCCCAATTTAATATTCCATGTACGGATAATTCAGACTCAGTTTTCCCCTTTGCCTCATCCAACCCATTAATCCTGGAATGCTGACTAATAATTATTTTCCTTCATCAACACGAATTCCTTTTACTTCTTTCTGCCTTCTTGAGACTTTGCAGGGCTTCCTTCCACAATCCTTAGTTCATTCTAAGTGTCCTAAATTTACTGTCCTTTACTGAAAAAATTTAAATATTAATAGCAAACTTCACTCCTTTTAAGGATAATAGTTAGGATTTCCTTTTAAAACCATATTGTTCATTGGGGTGGTTTGTTGAGATGTAATTCCCTACAAAGTCAAGGCTGATATTACTGTTTAATATTTGAAAAGACTTGTCAAGTTTACTGTTAGTGAAAAAAATGGCCTAGTTTATTATCTATTCAACTAACATTTCATAAAGTATTTTATCTAATAGCTATACCTCCTATAGCAATTTATTTTGTTTCTACTTAAGAAAAAATACTAGAATTCATTTTTCCAGTGGTTGTTAACTAAATTCCTGTCTCTAGGACTATTAGATTTGACACAATGAATTAAATTCAAAGACAAAATACCAGAATTCTTTTCCTAGTTCCAGCTTTAAAAGTTAGACTTATAACCACTCAGTAAATACTCTTCCCCCTGGCATCTAAGTAAAAGCTAAAGAAACTTCCTCTTTCAAATTATGAACTATTTGCCCCTTGGTAGTTTTTCCTAATTCCTACCTTTATTGCCTAAAAATTAACATTTTTTGCAGTAACTGTATTCTTGTTACTATTTTATAACCATATTCTTGTTTTATTTTATATCCGTTCTTTCAAAAAATTTCAAGCTTTCATGCATTTTCCTTCATTCATTTGAATAAATTCTTAGTACCAGTTATGTGTTACATAGCAATTATGCTGATATTAATCTCTTGAATAAATTATTTCTTAGTACCAGTTATGTGTTACATAACAATTACGCTGATATTAATCTCTTGATATAAATATATATGCCAAAATATGCTAATATAAATTCTTTACTTTTTTTTTTTTTTTTTGAGGTGGAATCTGGCTCTGTTGCTCAGGCTGCAGTACAGTGGTGTGATCTCAGCTGACTGCCAACTCTGCCTCCTGGGTTTAAGCAATTCTCCTGCCTCAGCCTCCTGAGGACCTGGGATTACAGGCACAGGCCACCATGCCCAGCTAAATTTTTGTATTTTAGTTAAGACAGGGTTTCTTCATGTTGGCCAGTGGTCTTGAACTCCTAACCACCTGCTTTGGCCTCCCAAAGTGCTGGGATTACAGGTGTGAGCCACCGCACCCAGCCAGATTCTTTGCTTTTTAATAAAAATCGAAATAACTTTTGATAAGTTTGTCAAATTTGACCAAAATTTCCTAAAAGTCCAAAATATTATGCCTCTTTTGTAGAACAAATGAAATGTGGCCCAAAGTACAAGTGTATGCGCATTCATGGCAGATGAATATAGATCTAAAACTAGTTTTAAAAGGAATGAATGATTAATTGTAGTTTCTGATCCCAAAAAGTCTCCATAATCATTTTTTAGTAATTTATAACCAGCTTGATCTTTACCTGTACACACACAGACACACACACACACACACGTACGGAGCAATTTCACTTAGAATCCTGGTCAAAAATTTTCGTCCACTTAATTTTTTTAAAGACTCTCACAAATATACATCATTATTTTCCTTAGTTGGCAAAAAAAAAAAAATCAAGTAAATGTAATTCTTTTATTTCCCTTCTCAGAATATTTTTTTTATCTTAAGTGTGATGGTAAAATTTTACTAAAAATGCATTTATCAGGACTTGAAAGACAGTGAGAGTGATTCAAGCTCAGAGGAAGAACGGAGAGTCACTACCCGAGTTATTCGCCGGCGTTTGATTATAAAGGTATCCTGTAGCTGGATCAGTATGTGGCATTGCTGTACTGTTAGAAACTCCTTCCTTGTGGTTTTGAAATGTCAGCATGATTGATAATGCAATGGCTTTGTGTAATTTTTTTTGCACACTTGAAAGCTTGTAAAAAACAACAACCAAAAAGCAAAAAAGCCATGTTGCATGGTATTCTGTATAGGCCTATTTGATATGTGGCGGGTGTAATTTTATTTGAGAATTCTTGGCATTTGTATCCTGCTTTCCTTGAAGTGTTACGTGAGTGAGCAGACTCTACCTTGGTGACACAGTAGTTCATATCAATGAAATGTTCAATTGAAACCTTAGAAACTCTAATAAAGCGTGAGGTAAGATAAAGAAGAAAGAGAATGAAAGAATTAAAAGGCTTCCTTCTCAGTCTCAAATTCCTGTTGCCTTAAGAATTTTTAAATGAAAACCAGTTCTTCATAAGCAATCAATGGCTGAGAATTTGAGGTTATAACCTGGCATGGATATGTGTGACACAATGCAAGTCAAGTAAAGAAAAAATTCTGAAATAGGCGTTTCACTTTACTAACACACCAAAAAAAAATCAAGCTCTATTTTTAAGTATAGGAGTCAATTTTTTTTTTTGAAAAAATGAAAATATTAATTCCACCTTATTATGGCACAATTGTAAGCACTATTAATAAATATTCTTCCTTTCCTCCACAAAGATACGTTGAAGCACTGACCTTATACACAGTAAGATTCCACAGAATCCTTCTTGCAGTCTGCCACTTGTTTTCATTACTTCATCATTAGAGAGGTCTTTCTTAGTGTTAGAATAACTGAGTGCAAAGAACTAGAAAGCCATTTTCAATGCACAGACTTTTGAATCTGATCCAAATAATGTGAGGCTTCTTGGTTAGCGCTCTAGAGAGAAAGAGGAAGAGAGTATCTATTGAAAACCATTTATCAAACTTATCATCCAATCCCAAAGTGTCAAGAGACCCAACAGAAAGCAGAAAAGTGGGCACAGGTGTCAAAAATTTCTTAACCCTGCTGCTTTTCAGTTTTCATGTAGAAATGCCACAGAATCTGCCCTGATGTAGTTTTTTTAAGACTCTGGAAGCACTAAGGAAGAAAATAAATCTTTGTCTACATTTGAGTTATCCTGCAAATCAATTGTAAGCTCAGTAGTGTTCCTTTAAAACCCATGAATCACGTCTTTGAAAATTCCATATAGGCAAGCCAAATTATTAATTGCTGTCTAGCACATTTGCAAGTATTCAACCTGCTATCTATAAAATCCTCATAATCAGTCACCTCACACATGTTCTGTGGGATGGGATGGGGGAATGGTTGATTCAATTTTTCTGAGTTTTTGCTATTCTCATAATCAGTGACTTCAAGAAATGATATTTTGAAGTGAAATGTCTAGAAAAAGCACATGGTGCTTTAAACTTGTCTTTTATGCTTACAGTATCACATACTAATATTACATCTAAATCCACCACATTTTTTTATAATAGCTGCCCATGATAGAAGTTGACTTTCTTCTATCTAGGACAAAAGAAAATATAGCCATGCAAAAAAAGTGGAAGGCAGGGGATAAAGAAGTTTTTCTCAGAGAAGACAAAAATGGTACCTTCAAAACCTCCCAAATCAATAAGAGCTATTTCTTTTAGTCTTCCAAAATTCTAGACACGCACCAGCAAGTTAGCTATTAAGTAATTTTCTTAGAGTGAGTTGTCTATGTTTTTTAGCTTAAAATATGATCATAACATATTAATACATTTATTAAGAACTTAGATTTAAAAGACAAAAATTCACTATAATGTTGTAGGTTTCTTAAAACAGGGGAGTCTGTATTCTCCCCAAGTACTTCCTGAAGTTAATGTAATTTTAGAGAGATTGAGTGGAGTCATCACAGAAAAGGTTTTATAACTGAGTAAGGCATTGTATAAACAATAGGATCACCTACAAACAAGCTTGAGAGATATCTTTCTTATGTGATGGAAAACCAGAAGCTAAAAAAAAACAGTCATAATCATTATTGGAAGCTACAAGTTTAACAAAAACACTTTATAAATTATTTTTCTGTTCAGATATTTGGGGCATTTGCAAAGAGTCACATTTCTGCTGCTTTTCTCTTTACTCCATATGTTGCTATCCTTCTAATGGAAAAGAGCTCGAGCCCTATAATAGTACACGGTAAATATGACACAGGAATCATCTCTGTCAAAAATATAAAATGGGAACGTAGTACCTAAATGGGTCACTGAGGCTAAAATTACTGTTTCCAAGAGCTGAGAACTGAAGACTGGAGATAAACCGATTTATTCAAAATGACACAGCCAGACAGCAGCAGCTCTGGGACTAGAACCTAATCCCCAGCTCTCTAGTGAAGTGCCTTTTCCACAACACTATACAATTGGACCTCTATAGCTGGGCATTCCAGATGCACAGATTCAATGTCAGATCTAAAATATTCAGAAGATAAAACAAAACAACAATACAAGTAAGAAGCAATGTGGTATAGCAACTATTTACATAGCATTTACATTACATTAGGTATTATAAGTAATCTAGAGGTGATTTAAAGTATATGGGAGAATGTATATAGGTTATATGCAAATACTCCACCATTTTATATCTGGGACTTGTGCAACTGCAGATTTTGCTATCCTCAGAGGTCCTGGAACCAATCCCTGTGGATACTGAGGAACAAATGTATTTCTCTTCCAGAACAAATAAGGATTATTTTGCTAGACTAAATCAGGTATTTGGCCATTCCGACCTTTTCAGCAGCACAGAAGAGGGCAGCATTGGGCTGTCATTCCTGGAAACAATTTGATGAGGCTGGAATGCTGGGAATTTGACCTACCTCATGGATGCTGTCCAAACCTGGACTGAACCAGCGTAATTAATACTGTTTGCCATAGTAAGCCCCCTAGCACTTAGTATCCCAGTTCTAAAAACTATTCTGGGGTTGTTTCATCCCTCCCAGAGCTGACTCTGGCTGGGAAGCATCTCCCAAAGGAAACAGTATGTATGCTAAGGATTAGATTGCCAAAATCTGGGCACATATGTCGTCTTAGAATTCCATTTGTATAATAAATGAGGTGATGGTGATTTTTCTCTTGACTTTCAAAAAGGATCCATTCTTTTTCTACGAAGTTTTAACCTTTTTTTTTTTTTTTTTTTTTTTACATTTAATGTTTCCAAAGTCCTATAGAATGAGTCAGGTTAACAAATTATCTCATTTGTCATGGGACTTAAATAAATATGCTGATAAAATTTTAATCTCTATATAATTTTATAATATCACAAGGGTTTCAAAAGCTTAGAAGCAATTTAAGTTACTAACCAGTCCTGAGTTTATCTTATTTGCTAAGCAAATCCAGTGACTGCAAAGGTAAAAAACTTTAAACCAACACACAACCAAACTATTGTGAAGTTTTGTAAAATTCAAATAACTGAATTTTTACTATAAAGTACAACTGCATTTTTATTTCAAATTGTCAACATTTTTACTGGCTTTCTAAATAAGAGCTTACATGTATGTTTCTCCTAAATCAGGTAGTTTAAACCTATGGTAAGCTCTGTCCATTCATTCCATTTCCCAGAGGTAACTACTGTTCATAAGCTTCAGATTGTTTTTACACACACATACAAATATAGATAGTACATGTACAAACACATCCTCAGCTAGGTTTCTCAGAATATAAAAATGGGTAATACTATTCATATTGCTTAGTACTTGCCTTTTGTTAAATAGATTGCAACAATCCTATTTTTGGACAATTCAAGTTTTAATGTATACATCAAAGCAAATAGGTACATTTCATATTGCCACTCTTCCACTTTTTTCAAAAATTCACAGAGAAATAAACGTTATAAAATGCAGTGCTTCTAGCAGGAGTTCAAAAGGAATTACAGTTAATTTTCATTAAGGCAGTCACCATAGCTGAAAATGTTAACACCACGTGTTCTATAATTTTCCTTTATAATGGTCGTGGGGAAAGGATGGAAGGTTTCTAGAAATAATGTTGTCGACAAGACCATGGGGACAATTTTTTTCACTTAGAAGTGCAAAGTGTTTTCGAGAACTTTACAAACTCACTGAAATTACTTTTTCCCGTTGAACAGAGGCCACAGAGCTCTCTCCTAGGTAACATTTGGTCTCTAATATATTTGACAGAATTAAAGATGGATACATTTTTTTAAAAACATATTTCATAACTCCTTACTGTCTTCCCTGTCTATGTAATCAACTCCTATCTAATCTGTGCCTCCTATTTATTTTGGCTTATTATTTATAAGTAGGGTTTTGCTTTTTGTAAGCCTATTACTCTGTCAATATACTTGTATGTATTCACTATGCTCACACATATGCCTACTGCATAGTCCTTTCAGAGACTGCCCAAACAATTAAAAAATTAGCTGATATCTTTTCCCACAAAAGGATTCAATTCATTCATTATCTGCCCAGTAGGATACCATTTTAGGGACTTTTCTGGGTTCTTTAACTGTCTATCACTCAAAGAGCTGGACATTTCCAAAAGTTAACTCAAAAATATTTGTCATTCATGTTTAAACTATAATGAAAACTTTCATCACTTTTTACTGGCTTTTTTGCTTTCTTTATGACTTCACTTTTAAAATAAAATTTTGAGTTTATTCCGAACATTTGAAAACACGAACCATAAAAAATACAAATAACACTCCCATTAAAAACTTGTTGCAAAGTTTGGTGCATTTATATAAGACCTCTACATTTTTCCAGTTTTTTCCCCCCTCTCTTCACTGCGCTGATTCAAACTAGTCATAAGCAAGATTGGGGATGCACTAAAAAAGAGCAAGAAACACTGTTTTATGTTCATTCCACCTGCATACCACAGTGAGGAAAAACAAGTTAATTGTCCCACTCATTGTCATGAACTATGCACCCACAATCTGTAAGAACACAAAATCATTTTGTAATAAGAAAAAAGAATGAGAACAAAACTTTGTTAGCAAAACAACAGTGTTTTAATCTTTATTCTGTCATTTTGAAGCACAACTGCCTTTCTGCTGATTGTGACATATGGCAATCATTGAATGTTCTCACCACTGGCTGGCACTGATGGAATTATCAGGGCCACTATCTTTTCCATTCCAGTAACACAAAAAGTTAGAATCTCACTTTCCCAGGAAGGCAGCTATCTTTGTGATTGGCCATTTTCCCTAAAACAAAACCAAACCACATCTGTACGCTGCCAAGCAGCATTATCCATTTCACCTTTTCAGTAAGAAGTTTGACTGACGGATCAATAGGTTCCTGGAACACAAGTCCATCCTGAAGATGTTTATCCTTCTTCTCTCAAACTATAAGTGGCACAAATATAAGTTAAACACAAATGAAGGTAATATACTGCAGATATGGTGCTGCCTTTGCTGAGCAGTGTGTCTTACGATACAATCATAGAGCTAGTGGAGAGATACCATGGAGCCATCTAAATCCACCAAGCTGTCTAAGAACAGGAAAGTAGGCACCCACCCTGGGGAGTTAAGAATGTATTCTATTTTTAAAACTCAGAGTGAAACCTTTCAGTTTCCCCCTCAAAATTAGATAACAAATCAGAAAGCCAGATTCTAACTCTGTGTTACTGGAATATAAAAGATAGTGGCTCTGATAATTTTGTCAATCCCAGCCAATGGTGAGCACATTCTATGATTGCTGTATGTTCCAGCCAGTAGAGAGGCAGTTCTGGTTTAAAAATGACAGAATAAAGATTAAAACACTATTGTTTTGTTCTCATTCTTTTTTCTTATTACAAAGCAACTTTGTGTTCTTATGTGGGTGCAATGATCAGAAGATATAATCTTAAATTCCCTTGGTATTGATTTTATCTATCTTTTTGCCTATGGTAATGAAGATACTTCAGTGTATAAACTATGTACATATATCAGACAGTTATTCTCACTTATTTTAAGAGCGATGAAAGATTTAGTCTTTAAAGCAAGATTCTCTCTGTACCCTGAACTTTTCTCATAATCTTTTGAAAAACGTATATATTATCTTTAGTGAATGAATTTTTAAATAAATCAGAGTGATAAATGTCATGCCCAAACTAAGGTACTATCTTAGTTCAAGTTAGATAACTTAATCCACAAACATCTCTAGAGATTTGGTAAAACTAATGAAGAAGCAGTGCTCAAAGTGAGACAATCTAATCAGAGCTCTAATCATTGGCTAAAATTTGTTTCAACATATGAAGCCTTTTGGTTTCCAGTATGTAACTGCATCCTATAATTATATATTTTCATATCCGTCCTTCTGGAATTTGTTGTTAACCATCACTTTTATACGTAATTGAGGTTTAATGCTTGAATGCTGTTGACTGCTAAATAACTGTCAGTGGAGTCAGCCTTTCCTCTTGCACTGGAGTAGCAAGTAGAATTTACAACTTTTTTCTCTAAAAATCCAGAGCATGTATGTGGTGTTCGGAGTGCTGTGGAGATTTCTCCATCTAGTATGTTGCTAATCTTTATGCCACATCCTTTAGGGAGAGGAAGCAAAAAACATTCCTGGTGAATCTGTCACAGAAGAACAATTTACCGATGAAGAAGGCAACCTCATCACCAGAAAAGTAATCATCATTGAGATTTTGTGCTTCTCTTGAAATTTACATTTTCTGCATTAAAAACTCTGCTACTTTTGTGCTGTAGTGTCACCTCTTGAAACAGAAAAACCTCCACTTTTCACCATTGCTTCCTACAGATCACTCGGAAAGTATTAAGACGAATTGTTATCCCACAAGAGAGAAAACATGATGTGGTAATGGAGAGGGATTGCCAAAGAGAATGTAGAGGGCAAAAGCTTTGTGCGCTCCCTAGAAACTGCTGCTAACAGGCTGGCATCTGCAGTGTGGCATCTTGAAGTGTTTGCTGCTTCTCACATCTTACGCATTTGATCAGGGTCAAAGAAAAATACTTTTCTTCCTAACATTCTTTAATGTTACATACTTTTTTAAAAAAAGAGTTTTCACAAAGATAAGGTTATTTATGGGGGACAGAATGTGCCAGTTTGAGGGAGAAAGAAAATAAAACCCTTGACCCTTCACCACCATCTGAGCAGTGCCTCAGCCCCACCTAGGGCTTGGCTGTCAGCTGAGTGTCTGTTGGGACACGGTGGAGAGCACTCCAAACTTACAGACTTTAAAGTCAGAATGGCAGAAGGCTCAGTTCAAGATCTGCACCTCAGATCCATACATTTTCTCTTTCCAACATGTTCTAAATCTGAATTCCACCATCCTAGTCTGAGGAGGGGGTTCCCCTCTTTGGGTTTATAGCAGCCTGTTTCCCATGTGCCAGTTAAAGAATCCCTCCAGCCAGCCCCTATCTGTCAGAGAAAACATATCTGGTAATTTTTCACTTGTTTCTAGTCTTTACCCTTTCCAATTTAAAAACAGAAACTTTGATAGACTATGTTTACATAAGAAAAAGTAAACAGAAAATTTATCAGAAGTAGTACATCAGAAAACTGAGAAGGCTTCTTGTGTTTTCTGTTAAGAAAAAAACTGAGTATTTTTGCAACAACCTTGCTCTCAGGAAACTGTATTCCTGATGCTCAGTGAAGAGATGATTTGTTTATGGAAAATAGATGCCTCCTTGGTCTGACAGTAAGAGGAACTCATTGATAATTCCATTAACTTAAAAAGTTCCTCAGATCAACAGCATTTCCATGGATTAGTACTTAACTAAGAAATTTGAGTCTAATTACAACAGATTGCTTACCATTCTGCTGGCCGTAAAAAGGCATAAATTATAATTTATTGATATTTTTAAGCGTTGGTGTTTGGGTGCCTTGTGAGCTGTGGTGACTATTTCTTTTAGCTTACTATAGGAAATGGGCAGGCTGCTCATTATTTTGATTTATCACTAACTTACTGAATTATTGTCAAGTACAATTATGTTGTATTCATTTGACAGTGCTCTCTAGCTTGCCTTGATGATGCTAAACTGTGTGGCTAAGCCAAATAGATTGTATGTATTTTGGAGATGAAGTGACAAAGTGCTTTAAACCGTTTCATTTCTCCTATTCCAGCCTCCAAGGATCAGAATGGGACTGCTTTATAATTAAAACTCTTTCACTATGAAATCTTAATATGTGCATTCCTTTTAAAGCAGGGAGAAGTTTTTAAGGTGAAAGCGAAGAAAGAAATCCGGCATGTGGAAAAGAAGAGCCACTCGTAACAGCGAACGGTCAGTCGAGGTGATGTGTGTTCATATCAACAACAGTAGGACTTAAATTCCTGTGAAACTTACAAGTTTCACTAAATAAGTGATTCCAATTTTCCCCGTCCTTTCTTTTTCACTGAATTCCAGCTTTGAAAATCCAATACGAAGTTGTTCAAGTTCGTTTATGTTTGCATACATGTAAACACTAAAACTTGACTTTGGTTTCACAGTCTGTTCACTTTCTCCTCACAAATTAGGCAGCAATTTAATTGTAAATTATGTTTGCAGAATCAAATATAAATAGTGATGAGTAAAGGGTCACTGTGAAATATAGTAGCCTTATGCAATCTAACAGGAAGACTATTTGGCAACAAATAATTCTTAGTTATACTCTGAGAGTTTTATTGATCCAGCCTTTCACCATTTTAGCAGAACGGCATCTGAGGATATAATTTTGGTGGAAATAAAGTGAGTTTCCAAGTCTACATTAAATGACTGACATATCTATCTAGTGTTTTATATAAGCAAAGGGAAAAAATAGGAGGTTAGTGACACTATTCTTTGTTACGTTAAATGTTTAGTTAGTGAGCTTTGTTTACATTTGCCTGGACATTTTTTTTTTTTTTTTTTTGAGATAGAGTTTTGGTCTGTCACCAGGCTGGAGTGCAGTGGTGCAATCTCGGCTCACTGCAACCTCTGCCTCTCAGGTTCAAGCGATTCTCCTGCCTCAGTCTCCCAGGTAGCTGGGACTGCAGGTGTGCACCACGACACCCGGCTAATTTTTTGTATTTTAGTAGAGACAGGGTTTCACCACGTTGGCCAGGATGGTCTTGATCTCCTGACCTCGTGATCTGCCCGCCTTGGCCTCCCAAAGTGCTGGGATTACAACCGTGAGCCCCTGCGTCCAGCCCTTTTACAGTGTTTTCTACATTTTGCTTTGTCCTATTTCTTTCTACTTAGCTACGTTTAGAAAGGCCATTTGGGGTGGGGGAAAAAAAGTCCTCTATAGTCTGTAAGGTAAAGTAAAATCATTTCTTTAGTTCACCTACAGTCCTCCTAGCCACACAGGTTAAAGTAGTAAGAAAGAGCAAACAGACTCTAGTTTTCACTTTCACGCATCTGCTGTTCCCTGCTTACCAGAACACTGGTATATGGGGAAGGAACTGGGAAGTAATCTAGTTTCACTGCTTATAAAAATAACAGATGCTGGCAAGGTTGTGGAGAAAAGGAAACATTTATACACTGTTGATGGGAGTGTAAATTAGTTCAACCATTGTAGAAAGTGATGTGGCAATTCCTCAAAGAGCTAAAAACACAACTGCCATTCAACCCAGCAATCCTATTACTGGGTGTATATACCCAAAGGAATATAAATTGTTCTATCACAGAGACAAATACACATGTATGTTCACTGCAGCACTATTCATAATAGCAAATACGTGTAATCAACCTAAATGCCCATCAATGATAGACTGCACAAAGAAAATGTGGTACACACACATACACCATGGAATGCCATGCAGCTATTAAAAAAGTGTGAGGTTGTGTCCTTTGCAGAACATGGATAGAGTTAGAGGCCATTATCCTGAGCAAACTAACACAGGAAAAGAAAACCAATGCCGCTGTTCTCATTTAGTGGAAGTTAAATGATGAGAACACATGGACACAAAAAGGGAAACAGTAGACACTGGGACCTACTTGAGGGTGGACAGTGAGAGGAGGGAGAGGATAGGAAATAGTAACTATCGGGTACTAGGCTTAGTACCTGGATGACAAAAGAATCGGTAACAAACCCATGCATGTACCCTTGAACTTAAAATAATTGTGTGTGTGTTTAGAAGTATTCGAAGCCTCTGAAGGATTTTAAGCAAGGACCTAACTTGGTCTTCTCTCCTCCCTCTCTTAAAAAACTTTGAAGAGCATGGACTATGTAGAAAATGGATAGGGGGACAAGAATAAAATTAAGGTAACCAGTTTGGAGGTTATTGCTTCAGTTCAACTAAGCCATAATGGTGGCTTGGGCTGGGAAGACTGACAGCACTTGATCGATTAGCTTGTGGGGTAGAGTGGAGAAGAAGCATTGAGTCAAAAATGACTCCTAGATTTCTGGTGTAAGCAACTAGATGATAGAGAAAGAAGCAGAAGTGGAAGAGGAATGAGTTTTAAGAAGAGTGACAGGCATTCAGGCTTGGACTTGAGTTTGAAATGCTATGAGACATCCAAGTATTTGTGTTATATACCCAAGTCTGGAGTTCTAAGAAAAAGTTGGGGCTGTGCATATAAAAATGTGGGAATTGTCACAAAAGAAATGGGTATTGAACACGAGAGAATAGATGTGATTATTTAGGGAGAAAGTTGAAGTAAGCCAAGAAGGGACTCAAAAATTGAGTCCTCAAAAGCAGCATTTCAGAGTTGTAAAGATTGCCTCTGACCTCTTCCTTTCTGCAGAGCTCCAACCATGACCCTCCTTAGTAAGCACTCAGTAAGTGTCAGCTATTACTACTAGTATTAAGAGAACCAAGAATAGAACCTTGAAGAGCTTTGGATTACGGAGGCTTGTGGACTAAGCAGCAGCAGCCAGTGATGCTAGAATGTAACAGTGGGAGAAGTGAGAACAGCAGCGTCTGAAACCCTCTGCATGTGATGGTGGCTCACGCTCCAGAAAAGGCTCTATTATTCCACATCACTTGTTTCTCATAGTAGCCCTAGGAGATTAGTGAAATGTATTCTTCCTCTTTACTAAGGAATGAACAGTAACAGAGAGACAGCAAAATATCTGAGGCTGAGTGCGGTTAATGACAGGTCTGGATTTCCTGATTCTAATTCTCGGAGGTCAGAGCTATGGCCTGAATTGCTTCACTACAAATTCAGGGCCCCACCCTCCAGAATATTTTACCAGATTTCTTCTAGAGTAAATACAGAGTTTTTATATTATATTTTTCTTACCCTTAAAAAATCCCTATAAACAAAAGCCTTGGCTTCAAGGAAAGAGCAAGGGTTCTAGAGTCAGGTGGCTTGATTTCCAATTCTGGCTCCACTATATATTAACAGCGTAACTTTGAGCTTGCTATTTAAAGCTTTGTGGCTCTCTTTTTGGCTAGGCACAGTGGCTCACACCTGTAATCCCAGCAATTTGGGAGGCCAAGGCAGGCAGATCACCTGAGGTCGGAAGTTAGAGACCAGCCTGGCCAACATGGTGAAACCCCATCCATCTATACTAAAAAGACAAAAATTAGCCAGGCGTGGAAGTGCACACCTGTGGTCTTAGCTACTCAGGAGGCTGAGGCAGGAGAATCGCTTGAACCCAGGAGGCAGAGGTTGCAGTGAGCCAAGATCATGGCACTGTACTCCAGTCTGGGTGACAGAGCAGGACTCTCTTGAAAAAAAAATTAATTAAAAAAAAAAAAAAAAAAAAAAAAAAGCTTTGTGGCTCTCTTATCTATAAAATGGAGAAAATAATAGTACCTCACTAATTAGGATTAAATTAGCTAACCCACTTTAGAACAGTTTAGAATAAATATCTTTACCTAATAAAAATAATAACTACAAAATTTTATTACTATTGTTTTTTTCACTGCCAAAACATGAATGAACATTTTTCCAGTATTTTTTTCCAGCCCTTTGACTTCAGATACTTTTTAATCGCAAGTGAATAGAAAAGAACAAACAAAAAACCCTATTTATTGGTACTAGTGAAACAACAAAGCTACCTGAAACTGCACAGCAGTTTATTATAGTTACATAAAGTAATTAAAATTAATGTTTGGAAAAATGTCTTAGTCCCATGAGTTCTGTAACTACAGAGAAGGAAAAAGAGAAGAGAAGGGATAGGAAGAGGTGGGTAGGGAGAAAAAGAGAACGAGAGTAAACACTGCTCTGTCCCCACTGGGCTCAGGCTTTCCTTAAGCCATGACACAGCTAAGTCTTAAAGATGAGTAAGAGTTGAACTACAAATGTGGATTTCATTAGGGAAAGTGAAGTCTGAACATTCAAGGAGATGGCATTTGAAACAAATTTGAAGGGTAGCAGAGGAATTAGCCACAGACGATGATCAGAGAAGGGAAGTATAAGTATAGACGGATACAAAATCATGAGCAAAGACAATGAAGTTAGAAACAATTTGGAGTTGATACCTGGCATGTAATCTAGATCCTCAAAGTGAGGTTTGTTAACCGCAGAATCAGCGTGCCTAAAAGTCTGTTGTAAACACAGTATTTCAGCCCAGCACACTAGCTCACTCCTATAATCCCGGCTATTTTGGAAGCCGAGACGAGCAGAGCAGATCACCTGAGGTCAGGAGTTCAAGACCAGCCTGGCCAACATGGTGAAACCTCGTTGTGATTTCAGGGATTTCAGTAGCTGAGATTACAGGCACATGTCACCATGCCTGGCTAATTTTTTGTATTTTACAGGTTAACTATTTTACAGATTAAAAATGCAAAAAATTAGCTGGGCATGGTATCACATGCCTATAATCCCAGCTACTAGTGAGGCTGAGGCAGGAGAATTGCTTGAACCCACAAGGCAGAGGTTGCACTGAGCTGAGGTTGTGTCATTGCACTCCAGCCTGGGCAACAGAATGAGACTCTGTATCAAAAAAAAAAAAGAAACAGAATTTCAGAAACACTGACCTACTGAATCAGAATCTACACTGGAAGAGTCCTGTGTAATGCACATTAAACTTTGAGAAGCACTGCTCCAGAACATTTGACTGGCTCTCAAATTATCGCGAGTTTTTTTGTTTTGTTTTGTTTTGTTTTGTTTTTTTAGACGAAGTCTCTGTCACCCAGGCTGGATGCGATCTCAGCTCACTGAAACCTCTGTCTTCCAGGGTCAAGCAATTCCCTGCCTCAACCTCCCAAGAGCCTGATATTACAGGTGCCTGCCACCATGCTCAGCTAATTTTTGTATTTTTTAGTAGAGACAGCGTTTCACCATCTTGGCCAGGCTGGTCTTGAACTCCTGATCTCATGATCCACCCACCTCGGCTTCCCAAAGTGCTGGGATTATAGGTGTGAGCCACCATTCCCAGCCAAATTATCAAGAGTTTTAAAAAATTTATAATGCTGCACACCATCCCAAAAAAATTCTATGTATACTCTTATGGGATGTAGCCTGGATATTGTTATCGTTTTAATCTTCCCAGATAATTCTAATGTGCAACCAAGTTTGAGAACCACTGGAGATTGCAAAACAACTATTCAGTGGAGAATAGTGGGAATTACGCCTAAAAAGCTTCACTGGGCTGGACCACAGAAAGGTTCAGATACCAAGTAAAGATAGGAGACCCTTTTTAAAGCTAGGCATTAGGGTCTAAAAGCCACGGCTCTGTTCATTGGCCTGTAAAGGACAAGTCAGTTCTGTACCAGAGCATGCTCCTCTTCATCAGGTCAGAATGCCTAGCTTTAAAAAGGGTCTCCTATCCTTAAATATGATGTACGAAGTACATATTTAACTGTAAAGTATCAACTGCTATGAAAATCCAATGAATTGCAGTTTTTGTGTTGGTTTTTTTGGTTTGGTTTTGTTTTTTGAAACTAAGTGTCACTCTGTCATCCAGGCTGGAGTGCAGTGGCATGATCTCAGCTCACTGTAACCTCTGCCTCCCGGGTTCAAGCCATTCTCCTGCCTCAGTCTCCTAAATTGGGATTATAGGTAGCCACAACCATGCCTAGCTAATTTTTGTATTTTTAGTAAAGACTAGGTTTCACCATGTTGTCCAAACTGGTCTCGAACTCATGACCTCAGGCAATCCGCCCCCGTTGGCCTCCCAAAGTGCTGGAATTATAGCAGTGAGCCACTGTGCCTGGCCCTGTTTTCTTCTGCTTTTAAATGTTTCTCAAAAATACAGTGAAATGGCTGAAAGGAAAGATTGGTTTTCTGATTTAGTTTCTCCCACCTTTAGGTTTGAAAGTCATACAAAACCCAAAGAAAGATTCCTAAATGCAGGTGCATCTATCTCATATTCATTATCTAAACCAGAAAAGGGAAATGATTCAAAATTCTATTTCTGAAATGTCATTTTGATGGCTTCTGCCCTCACACCTTCCCATCAGATGGCGCTGTCATCACAGTTTATATTGTATCGATATTTTTATAACAAGTACATAGTCACTTAACTAAGGTTCTCCTGCTTTTCCTGCAACACTGTACTTGGAATAAAGTCTTCTGTCCAATAAATGACCTTCCTGTAACCAGTGTGGTTGGAACCAACATGCTCTGATTGCATAACCAAGGAAAGAAAAAGTTACAAGAGGAACTAACTCCCACTTAAAAAAAAAAAAATCACCCAAACCATCCTCACTAGAATATGTGGGCATAATTCACAGCATTTTTAAAAATTATAGAACTATATCCAATATATCCAGAAAGATAACATTGGCTTGCATTGAGGCGAGAAGAGAAAGGGCTGGCTAATTATTACAAAATTAACCTGGGAAGTTGGATTGGTTTTTAGGCGACATGGAGAAAAAGAAAAGTTCAAGTGGGTCGTAGTGATGATCGCACATCTACATAAATTTGTTAAAAAATATCAAGCCAGGCCAGGCACCGTGGCCGATGCCTGTAATCCCAGCACTTTGGGAGGCCGAGGCAGGTGGATCATTTGAAGTCAGGAGTTCAAGATCAGCCTGGCCAACATGGTGAAACCCTGTCTCTACTACAAATACAAAACATTAGCCGGGTGTGGTGGCGCATGCCTGTAATCCCAGCTATTTGGGAGGCTGAGACAGAAGAATGGCTTGAACCCAGAAGGTAGAGGTTGCAGTGAGCAGAGATCATGCTATTGCACTCCAGCCTGGGCAACAGAGTGAGACTTCATCTCAAAAAAAAAAAAAAAAAAAAAAGTAAAGCTGTGTATAATAGCTGAAATATGGTATATAAATTATTTATCAAGCTTCAAAAAGTCAGGGAGAAGGGCTTAGAGAAAACAGGGAGTGAGACACTGTGGTAACATTATCATAGAACCATCTAAGAAGTCTGGTGCCTAAAAGATTAGGATTAAATGATAAAAACAGGTGAGAAAATCCTGATCATCATATTCTGATTTGCCCATCCTCTGCAAGATGATCTACCCAAGTGAGTCACTTTCCTTCTTTGGAACCTCAGCAGAGTCACAGGGGAGGGGTGTTGAAATCACATAAGAGGAATTGATACCTTCATGTTCTTGGCCCCAAGCATTAGTGACCTGGGGCATGGGGGTCAGTGGCACTTTTAATACTAAAAAGGAAGCCAGGGCCTGTCGTGGGGCAGAGAGAGGAAGTGCTGTGCCAACGGGTTTCCATAAGCCAGGGTGTCCTAGGTGACCCATCTAAAGAGAAAGATACTTGTCTGAGGTAAGTAAACATCCTCAAGGTCACTAGGAACACTTTGGGCCCCAAGAGAAGCAGAATTCTAAAGGTTGTCCTAGATCTGCAAATACAGTCTGTTGCTTATATGTGAGTGAGCAGAGTTATTCTTAAAATTATTCTTGCCTTCCTCAGGATTTTTGTAGGAGCTGTATCTTGTTCTCAGGCAGGCATTCAAGTTTGTCAGCTTTTCTACTGAACGAGGAGGAGAGACAATATATAGGAAGTACTTTGTTTTATGGAAAAGCCAAATTCCTACCACAACAATAGTACACAAAAGTATGAAAACCTCTGCCAAAGAATGACTTAGTTTGACACACTAAGACTGGACACAAAACACTGATGCTTTATGCAGGAATCCTCCAGCAAAACAAGATTTTCTCAGTGAAGCCTCCATTAAAAAGCTCAAATAAAATTAATTTGTCCCATTTTGACTGATATGGACAGGAGAATCAAACGTTCTTTGCAGTGGTAGAGATTTGTCTTTAATTTTAATTTGCTTATGGAAAAGAAATATCATAATGAAGTAATGACACTTTTCCTCCTTTGGTTGAATTTTTGGAGAAGTGAGAGACTTACAAAATAATCAGAAATAGCTGAGATGCTCTAGCCTAACGCCATATCTCTGGCCCTTTTTGCTCATGGAAGTCCCAACCCCCTTACATTTTGATGTTGAGAGAAGTCTCAGAGATTACCTCTCTCAGCCACCTCATTTTATAGATAAGACTAAGGCCCAAAGGGCTACAAATGGCTTCCCCAAGCAGCTGAGTGACCTGAGCTTCAGACAGAACTAGAAGAGGATCTTGCCAACACAATCTGTAAAACCGTCACCAAACCAAACTAGGTGTTTGCCCATGCGCAATGGAAAGTCAAATACCAAACACCGAACACCGAACACCAGGTTTTTGCAGAAGAAAGGTGTATTGCCACTGGACTGACAAGGAGACTGGAGGAACCACTCAAATCTGTCTCTCCAAGCTGAGGACGGGGTCGGGTTTTAGAAGCATAGGGTTATGAGGCATGATCTGATTGGCTCTTGCAATGAGGTGACAGCCAGAAGGCATGATCTGACTGGATCCTGCAGTGGGGTGATGCCAGGGCTCTATCTGATTGGATCCTGCCATGAGGCATAGGCTTCTTAATCAACTCCTCAGTCTGAGAACTTAGGTTCCTCCCAGGCTTGCACATTTAGTTTATCTGGGCATGCTCAGGTTATGTGACCTTCCATCTGTGGGGGTTAGGGGAGGGTATATGGCAACCCAAAAACAACTCACAACTTTGTCACATAAAAGTTGAACCAGGTTGGTCTGGTGCAATTACAAAACACAAATACAGTAAGAAGCAAGGCTCTCTGGAGGTCACAGGGTCACTCACATAAGGTCACTGCTTTCTAAGAGCTTTCCAGTATAACTTAGGGCCTTGTCCTCTAAGGCATCTAGGAGGTAGCAGCATCATGTTAAACCACCCCATAGGGAATAGAGGGCCCCTATTCTCTAAGACTTTTCTATTGAATGGCAAGTAAGGCTTACACTGGTTCTCTTAAATTAAAAAAAAAGAAAAAGAAAAAAGAAAAAGGAGGGCAGTGGGAGAGAGAGAAAAAAAGAAAAAGAAAGCTAAACTCGCTATCTACTGTCTCTTTCCACAGGATCATAAGTTTTTACTGCCAGTATTGAGAAATTCACGGAAGAAATGTCAGCAGGAAGTAAAAATTCACCGAGAAGCGTGTGTATGTTCGCTGCTTCCACACATTAATGGCATGATTTTTTTTATGCAAAAAGAAAAGGAAAAAAGAAAACCACCCACATTTTAATTTAGCATGAGCCAATTTACAGAGCATGGAAATCACTTTCATTTCCGGATTGGCGCGTGTGCAATTAGCAATGCAGTGTATATACAAGAAGCCATGCTGTTAACAGTTTATCTCAAGTGATTTTGGTGTCATTTACAAAAGGAAGAAATTCCTGCCATCAGAAGGAACAGAGGAGATGGAATGATCAAATCACAGAGAAACACTAAAATTACTAAATCTACAACAGCTCGCCTTATTTTTCCTGGACCCAAACTGTCAGGGTATAAACACTATTTGTTTCTTTTTTAAAACATCGATAGTTTTGCTGTAAATAGTAACACTGTATAAATTCTAACAGAAAAATAGAATAAAATGTTGATAAGGCACTGCCTCTTAGAACACAAACAGAATATTGCAAATGCATTTAACAAATAGGGGTCTCAAGTGACTTCACCCTAGAAGAGGAGGGAGGGGTTCTGGGGGTGGGGGGAATCTTCACTGATTCTTGTATATTAGCAATTATAATGTTTGTATATGCAAAACTGCTAGCTTGATTTTAAAAAAACAAATCTTTAAAATCTGCTGCAAATTTAAATAATTCCCAAAATGAGGAATTCTGTAGTTCTGTGAAAAAATTTTTTCTTCAGAATACTAATATTTTGATGCATGTGTATCACCTTATTTTGATTAAATCTTTTCCAATTTTGCAAACACTACAGTATACTGCAACACAAAAGATTTTATCTGTAAACACAAAGCCCTTCATCTAATATTTGTTGCTATTGCCAATTTTTCAATGAAATGACCTGAAAACAAACAAAAAAAAATAACCTATATGGTAGTTGCTTTAGGGGGTGGGGGGGTGCTATCTGTTAGTGCTTAAAAGGGGGTAAATGCTTGCCGCTTTAGAGGTGGATGGTGCTCATAAGAGGCCCCAGTCGGGGGTATTTGAAATGGACTGAACAGAAATCCTTAGCTAGTAGAATGGCAGCACGCTGTAAAATTATTACTGTATTGTGTACTGGCTATAAGATGTAGACACATTTCAGTAAGCCAATCATTTGTAACCATTCTAGCAGTGTCATATTAGGTTAATAAGGCTGCTGTGTTTTAAAGGGCATTTTTATTTGGGTTTTGGTGAAATTCTTTAATTTGTTGATTATATTCACATAAAATCAGCATTCATCGACACATAACTCTAATGACATATGTATGAAAAACCATACACTGGATGACCTAGTCGATTATTTAAGCATAAAATAAATTGTGTTAAACTCTTCACCTATCTGTGCTCTATAGTGTCCTTGTGTTTTCTGGCAAACGGTAGTTGTCTAAACCCTTATCATATGAGTCCTGGCCAATCCACCCCATTGGTCCTATTTGTGCCACTGTGTCACTGAAGAGATAGTCTCTAACATTCATATTTGCCCTGCAAGCTCCCAGCTTATAAATCCTGTGCATTTCATGGGAGAGCCAAAAATTAAAGATCAATTGACAAGTAAGCTTTGCCCACGTCTGTTCAGGCCATCTCAAAAAGTGAAGAATTGGAGATATTACAGTCAGCATGTCAAGAAGTTGACTGGCACTTCTAGGAACCATCAACATGCAGTTGCTTTTAGCCCACAAAGCATTTGTTTCATTAATTTACAGTTATTGTCCATTCTTACAAGTTGGGAGATTATGAGTTGCTAACTCCTCTTAAGAAGCAAGATTTGGCAACAATGGTCCTCATTCCCAGAAGGTAACAACCTACTGGGGCCAAGTTGTCTCTGTTTTCTCCAGCCAGGCGTGGGGGTCTACTAATACCACTGCCACAGCCCCATTTCTTAATATGTATGTCCTAACTATGAGTTTGCACCCATATACTGCGTGAATCTAAATCCTACTGAAGCAGAGACCATGGCTGTTTGTTGTTGTTGTTTGTTTTTCTTTTTTTGAGAGAGTTTTTCACTCGTTGCCCAAGCTGGAGTACCATGGTGGGATCTCAGCTCACGGCAACCTCCACCTCCTGGGTTCAAGCGATTCTCTTGCCTCAGCCTCCCAAGTAGCTGGTATTATAGGCATGTGCCACCATGCCCAGCTAATTTTGTATTTTTCATAGAGATGGGGTTTCACCATGCTGGTCAGGCTGGTCTTGAACTGACCTCAGGTGATCTGCCCGCCTTTGGCCTCCCAAAGTGCTAGGATTACAGGCATGAGCCACCATGCCTGGCTGGCTGTTTTAACTTTTATTCTAGTTACCAGCACAGAATATGGTAGTAGTGATAATAATAACTATCATCATCATCACTAAAATTGGAGTGCTTACTATATGCCATTCTCTGTTCTAAACACATTCCATTTACTACCTTACTTAGTCCTCATAACTACTTTATGAATTAGGCACTGTCTTTGATGGTAACAGTCCTTTTATAAAATTAAATGAGTGCTTAGAGACTTTCAGAAATGTTATATATTGCCTGTTCATTCAAGATTATTGCCAAATGGAATGAGTTGTCCCCAGTTGTCCTGCATTCAATATCAATGCAGAAGAAATGCACAGATAATCTACTTTGTGTAAAGAATGGGGCTGGGTTGCATCTGCATAGTATCCCAAATAAATAAAATGTGCCCCTACCCTTACATCAGAATCATTTTATGATGGGCAAAGTTAGACCCTTGACAGGTTTAAAAAAAAAAAAAAAAAAAAACTTTCCCAAAATGCCTGTATGTAAAGCCAGGATCAGAATACAGGTGTCTTAACTTCTTATCTGAGAGTTACGAATTTCTGACTCAGTCTTTGACAGAAGGTGTTTATCCTGAACTAGAAACTCAATAATGTATAACTGTCTAGGTATTAAATAGTTGTGTTTATGTACCCAAAAATTTGAATTTAGATGTATGTGATATGCTTTGCTTTACATCAAGCAGAAGCTCATAAGTTTAATCAGAAGTATCCAAAATATGACATTCAAGATTTAACTTGCATATGTGTGTATATGCATATATTTATACATGTATATGTGGATTGAACAGTACATACATTATGTATTTCTAATATAATCTTTGGCCTGCAAGCTTATAAATATGTATTTAAGCTTTTCATTGATTGACATTCCTGTAAAAAATGAATTGTGATTGATAAGTTCTGGATATTTAACTGTTTTTCCATTTTATATTCTTACTAAATTATTGAGTTTGTTACATTAAAATGTGTTATCACTGTATTGTCAAATTATGGCAATACACTTTGCAGGATTATTTCAATACTTTTAAGAGGCATCTATTTCTTCATTGAACACATAAGCAGCCAGCCTCCTTTTCTCTGTAAATAAGGACTTTTTTGGCATCCTGATTTTCCTTGCTGGTCATTTGGTATCATCCTGGAGTTCCATCAAGCCTGAGGATTTTCTCCATGGCCAATAAACTATTAGCATCAGCTCACGTTTGGCTGTATGACAGGCATATATGAGAAGCCCAGAAATAAATCACAAAAATAATGAGGCATCTTGTGAGTCTCTCTGAAGAAGCCAGTGAACCAAAAACTAACTTCTTATCTGAGTGAGTCTTGGTATTCTTGATTTGCTTGAAGAGGCTATGGCATATTATAAAGTGTATGGTTTCCTAGGCATGTCACACCGCTTCTCTTTCACGAATGAATGATCAAATTGTCCAGAAGTAAACATTTATAAGACTGAGATTTGAACCAAACTTTTCAAGAGTTTTTTTAATAAGAGGTAGAAGGCAGTGGTGTAATTCCTTTACACGGTTACCTGGCTAAACATGTACCAATACAGAAAGTAAATAATAGAGCAGATTCTGACAAGTATCCTTGGTAACAGGTCCAACAGCTTTCATCTCCTTAGTAGAATTAAATGCAGATAGTTCAGAATAGAGAACAATGAAACGCTCATTGATAGCTATGTATGATATGTGCAAGTAGGTGAACATGAAGTGAAGCATTTTTACTCTTCAGCCCTTGGTGCTTCCTGAGTTAGGGAATAAAAGACCTGAGGACTGCATTTCCAACTCGACATCCTGAGACTCCTCACCAATTTCAAAAGCGTTCCAGAGCTAGGCTGAGATGAACATGCTCAGAGAATTCTAAGGTGGTGAGAAGAACCACCTTAGAATGCCACAAGGAGTACACCAGAAGCAATAACCATGACGACTTTTCTTCTAGGGCCACCATGGAACTTTTGATATCCCCTGAAAATGTGATCCCCCTGCCCGATTTCCCCCAACATTCTCAACTACTGCTTCTCTTTTGCCATCTAACTCAGCCACTGGCATAATTCTGAGAGCTGGGACAGAATGATGACTTGCCAGCTTTTCAAAAAGTTCTGTCACATGATATATGTCACCAGGTCCTCATACTAGACTGTACGCTCCCTGGGGACAGGGACTTTGTTTTGTTCTATGTTACATCTATAGTACCTAGGATAGTGCCTGATGCCTTATTGAGTGCTCAAGAAATATTTGTTGAGTGCAAGAATGAATGAGTCAGCAAACATCAGAGGTCAAGGAACAGTAAATAGGGAATGTTACTCTATACCATTTTCTTTACAGGCTCAACCAAGGTGGAAATTGAAGGAAAGCACTGCTGTTGATTCTAATGACTTCTTTCACCAAGGACTAACTTGTGTCCCCAACCTCCACTGGCCCATTCCAGTTGCATAACTTCCTTCTTAGCCAAAAAGTCCTGAATAATTGGGTTTGGGTGTACTGAAACCTCATGAGCAAAGAGCATACGGTCATGTTGCTGAAGTGGGCTTTCTTTCTGTGGCATGGGCTATGGTGCTCATCCTCATCACTGACTGGCCACTGAGAAACCAGGCAAGAGTGTAGAGAATCCATCATGAACCCTCCTGTCTATAACTAAGCCAGTTTCGTTGCCTCCACCTTGGTGTCGCTGAGTGAATGTGTTTCACTATTCACCACAGCTCCTCTTCCCTGTTTCCTCTAAAATCCAACTTACTTTATTTTTTTTTTTTTTTTTTTTTTTTTTTGAGATGGAGTCTCACTCTGTTGCCTAGGCTGGAGTGCAGTGACATGATCTCGGCTCACTGAAACCTCTGCCTACCAGGTTCAAGCGATTCTTCTGCCTCAGCCTCCCAAGTAGCTTGAACTACAAGCGCGTGCCAACATGCCCAGCTAATTTTTGTATTTTTAATAGAGATGAGATTTCACCATATTGGCCAGGCTAGTCTCAAACTCCTGACCTCATGATCTGCCCACCTTGACCTCCCCAAAGTGCTGGGACTACAGGCATGAGCCACTGTGCTTGGCCTTACATTATTCATTCCTATTCTGTATCTCTGTTTAATATCATTAGAAGGAAAAGAAAGCAAATGGATGCTATCCTGCTTAAAATCCTTCTTTCTGGAAAGCCAGATATCTACCTCATTTTCGTCCTGTCTTTCTCAATGCCAGTAAGAGGAGGCTGGAATAAAGGAGCAAGTAACTGAGAAGGGAAAGATAGATCATGTGTTTCTCCAAACCCACACATCCCTCCAATCATTCATCTCATTCCACAGCAGATACTCAGTGTCTGCCACTTTTCAGGTGCTCTCCTAGGCACAGGATACATCATTTCTCTTCCTACCACTGTCAAAGTGAGGAGAACAGTGTCAGCTTCTGTGTGAAATCTAAATTAGGGCTCCTCAGGAGAGGAAATGCTAGAATGACTTGTGGAAAAAAAACTACCATAGCACATGATAGGCAGTGCATGCTGGAGAACATGAGAAGACATGTAGGATGGGGAGGAACAGCCCTGTGGCTGCTGAACGTAACCACTGCACTTTCTTTCTTTTCTTTCTTTTTTTTTTTTTTTTTTTTTTTTTTTGAGAAGGAGATTCTCTCTTGTCACCCAGGCTGGAGTGCAAAGGTGCGATCTTGGCTCACTGCAACCTCCACCTCCCAGATTCAAGTGATTCTCCTGCCTCAGCCTCCTGCCTCTCCTGAGTAACTGAGATTATAGGCACCCGCCACCACACCCGGCTATTTTTTGTATTTTTAGTGGAGACAAGGTTTCACCATGTTGGCCAGGCTGGTCTCAGACTCCTGACCTCAGGTAATCTGTCCACCATGGCCTCCCAAAGTGCTGGGATGACAGGCGTGAGTCACCGCACCCAGCCCCACTGTACTTTCACATTCCGCCTGCTAGTCAGAATTAAGCGAGACTCAAGGCCTGACAAAAAATATTTTAATAGAAAACTTTAAAAACATTTCAAAAGTAGTTAACCAACTCTATAATACTGTATAAGCCCATCTGACTCTCAGAGATTGTGAATTTAGGCAAAAGCA